GTTGAGACGTTGCCCTCTGCTCTAGCCCCCAGAACTCCCTTGAGTTGGGATAGGGTAATACCTGCATAGAATGGGTCTTGGAGCTCAGGAGCTGGGGCTTTGTCACAGGTGGCTTGGCTGGGGGACTCTTCGATGATGGGCTCAACGGCCTCCATGCTGAGAAAGGCAGTGCTGGCTGGAGCAGGACCAGCTTGGGCCACCCCCAAGGCCTTTTAAAGCCCCTTTGTCTTGTCCCCAGAGCTGGCAGCTGAATGAGCTCACTGAGCTGTTTTTAGAACCTGTCCCCCTCCCTTCTTTCCCTGTCCCACAACGCCTGGTGTGATAGACATGGGCACCTGCCTCCCCTTCCCCTCACCCCACCCTCTCTGGGCTGTGAGATTGGCTTAGCTAAAAATAAGCCTGAGCCACTACATAGACTCTTGCCCAGCATGATGGGAAGGGAGGGGTGCTAAAATGAGAATTAGGGATAAGAATGGGATCTTGAGCATGCATCTGGAATTTCTTTGTAGGATATGTGACACTCAGGGTGGTGAGATTATAAACTCCCACGCTTTTAGTCTCTATGCAAATTCAAAGACATAAAACTCCTTGAAGTGAGAATCAGAAATGGTGGAAGAGAGGAAAGGTAACTTGAGAGAGCAAATCCTAAGATTTCAGAAGTATCAAAAAAAGAAGTCTGTGGAAGGGGAATTGGAGGCATGGGAGAGAGAGGAACTTTACTAGATCCCATTCCATAGCTCACATCAAAATAGCAAGAACCTGATAAAAATGGAACTGGCCTTTTCTGCCCAGGCCTACATTCTTGCCTGAGATTAAAAAAAACCAAACAAACAAAAAAACAATCCCTTCCCTACTCCCAGCAGTCTCATGATTACCCCCAGCAACTTGTTAGTCCCCAGGAATCCCAAATGAACTCACAAGTATCAAAAGCAGCATTCATACTGCACCTACAGTTAACATTGTAAAAAGCCCCTATACCCTGGCCCTGCTTACAGGCACTCCCTGCCTGGAATCTCCTCCTCCCTCTATACTGACGCCTAGCTAAACCACATCCACTACCACAAACTTCAGGACCCTCCCCATTTCCCCTCTAGTGGCTGTTCTTAGTTTGAACTGAGCCACTAAGTCATATAAGATAATAATTATAACTAAGATAACTAGGGACCCTGAGTAAAATTATTCCCCTTTCCTTCATTATTCTTCTCAACTTGTCCCAAAGACTGTTTCCGGGGAACATGAGGTAGCCAGGATGTGTGGATGTGAAGACGCAGATTTAGGACCCTGACTGAGAACAAAAGATTTCAGGCACTCACTGGCTTGCTTGGCCTTCTGGGTGTAGGTGGTAGTAAGATCTTCTCCCACTGGGTGGGGGACAGGACCCACCATAGGGATGAGATGAGGACCAGGCCGCAGTGGACCATGGGGTAACAGAAGTGCTTCCGCTGGTGGCGGCTGAAGGGCTGTGCCTTCCTCCCAAGATGGGGAGCTCACACGGCTGTCACCCTGGCTGGGAGAGCCAGTTTTAGCAGGTGCTGGTTCTGCAGGGCTGTCAGACAGGTACACCTCATCAGGTGGGGCTCCTGGAAGGGAGGGCCTTGTGGGACCTCGGCGGCGGGTTCGGCGGGGCTTCTCCTGTGTGGCAGGGCCGTCAACATCGCTGTCTGTCTCTCCATAGTAAGCTTCACTGTCAGGAGGTGAGCGAAGGCTCCCAGGTTGAAAAGCCTGGGGAGCAGGAGCACCCGGGGGCTCAGGACTCAGTGGAGATAGGGGTGACAGCACCCGAAGCCCCCCTGGAGACGGAGATCTCACAGACCCTTCATCTGATACCCTGGTTGGAAAAGATGACAGAATTTGAAAGAGGGACCGATGGCTACAGAACTAACAGCTCTGGAGGGGATGAAGGGGCAAGGCAGTGGGAAAAGGAAACTGGCATATGGCTGGAATAGGTGGGATAGGAATGCAGGGGTAGGGGGGACCTGGAGGCTCTGAGGAGGATGGCATAAGGAGATGGGCCAAGGACTGAAGTCACCCCTCACTCAAATTCCTCTCAACGCCCCATCCCTCAGTTGCAGATACATTCCATCGGGAGGTATATACAGACATTCTCCAGTAGAAAAAATAACCAGAAATAGACACTTGTTAGTTACTAAAGCCAGGCCAGTGAGACAGAGCTAAGACAGACAAGAAGAGACCTAGGCTAGAGAAAAGTGTGTGTGTGTGTGGGGGGGGCTCCATACCTCCTCACAGTAAGGACAAGCTGATGCCCTGAAGCATCGATGAGGGTCATGGCACTGGCATGGGAGAAGTTGGTGCAGGAAACTCCATTGATCGCCAAGAGCTGGTCCCTCTCTCGGAGTCCGGCTCTTCCAGCCTGGCTTCGTCTTCGGATCTGAGATGTGAGGAGGAGAGATTGTGGATCATGGAGAGCTCCAGTGGGAATGCAGTGAAAGGGTAAAAAGGACCCATGTAAGAGGGGTTTTCTGTTTTGTTTTGTAGGCAAACAGGATAGGAAGACATCTGGGATGTGACTAAGGAGGTATTCTGGGAGATTGTGACACAGGGTTATCATTTATTGAGTTCTCACTGAAATGTTAGGCACTGTGCACTGTATGAAATATTGCACCTAATTCTTAGAATGGTTTATAAGCTGGGTAGTGTCATTACCCACATTTTACAGCCCAGAAAACTAGGTCTGTCGGGTGAAACCATAAGGCTAATGACTTTATCAGCAAGTCTAGCACCTAATCTTGCCTACTAAGAAAAGGGATATGACTTCGGGAAAGAGGAGCACTGAAGGCATTGGCAGGGTAGGGTAGGGCAGGGCAGGGCAGGGTTGGGTTGGGCTGGGCTGGGCTGGGAGAGACTGCCTTAACTTGTCACATATCAGTTAGTCAGAGAGAAATTAGAACCTTCCCTACATTCCTGGAGTTTGGAGTAGAGAAGCTCACACACATAAGGGAGCAAGTACTGGATGACCAGACTCAGCCTCTTCTCCCACAGTGCTGAAGCAGGGCCTTCCTTTTGCTCTGCTCCCTGAAACCAGAATTGGCTTTGCTAATAGTCCTTCTGGAGGTTGTGGTCACAGTCTGCTCCCCAATAGCCTTGAGCATGCTAACCTGCCCACCTGCCCACCACCTCTTCTTCACAACCTTCCACTCTGCCCACCCCCACTGGCCCAGAAGGCCACCACATGACTTTTCCCAAGTTCCCTTGGGTTCCCTTCTCTACAAAACACCATTTTAGGGGCTCACCCTTACCTTGGATACCTGTAAAGGTTTCTTCTGTTCAGCCCCCCCCTGAAGCCGGAAGCCCCAGGGTGCTCCCCCTGCTAATGTGACCTGCACCTCCTCCTCAGCACCCATCGCACAGCTTGACCTGTGGCCCCCGAAGTTTGGACAGTGCCCCTGAGAGAGAAGTTGAGGTGCTGGTACCCCGTCCGACCTGCCTGTCTGGCTGTCCTGCTCCTGCCGACCCAGGCCTCCCCCCCACACCACACACCATAGGCAGGCAACTTGGGCCTGGGATCAGTACAGTCCGGTACACATGTCCTGTCAATCACAGCTTGCTTAAAATAGTTGCAGGCTGTACTCTTCTCCCTCCCCCAGCTATGTTACTCCTAGAACTAATTATAGTACAAACTTCTGCCCTCCATGTCCTCCCTTCTCCTGCACAGGCCCTTTAGTTAGGACTCAGGATCAGATCTCTGGCTTTTAACTAAGTATGATCATTCAGGCACCATGCCTTCCCCCAAAGCCCACTGCAAAGTGAGAGCTGTGGAGGCTTCAAGCCCAGAGCTGGCAAGAAATGACAGGGTCTGCTCCATAAAGTCTTCGGAGAAGAGGGCTGCTTCGATGTTTGAATTTACTATTGAATCAGAACCTGTGCACTGCACAGTATGCTAAACCTGGAAAGGATGACTTTTGTGACAGAATAAGAGGTTAATCCTAGCACTTGGGAGACAGAGGCAGGTGATTCTCTGAATTCAAGGCTAGCCTGCTCTACAGAGCAAATTCCAGGACATCCAGGGCTACACAGAAAAACCTTGTCTTTAAAAACAAACAAAAGAATATGAATTTATACATCAAGTGACCAGATAGGAGGAAATGATGGACCCAAGCTTCAGACCTTCCACCAGAGGGGACCATAAGGAATATGTATAAGATAAAGACACCTGTTAGCTCAGCATTTCAAGCCTGACACCTGGCCTCAGTTCCATCCCTGGGACCCACATGGCATGGTGGAAAGAAGAAACCGACTCCAAACGTCCTCTGACCTCCACATGTACCTTGGAGCATTTGAAAAAACAGCAGCAGGATGGTCTAAGGTCGGGGAAAGGTGACTGGTGGTGAAGCAATCAATGGGCACGCTGCACAAAGACAAGTTTTACATTTCCTCCTGTGATACCAGGGATGGAATCAGACTTCCTGCATGATACGAGAAAACTGGAGTTCTCTTCATAGTTTTCTGTCAGATACATGCATGTTTGGCTCTCTGACTAACAAGCAGGAACTCATCAGACCATTTGCAGAGGCCCAAGTGAAGAGTCAGTTCTTTCAATATAGGCAGCTTTCAAGCCCATGATGGGGAGGTAGCCCACAAGACTATGGATTATTAGTATGATCCACATATCAGAGGGTTTTCAACAGCAAGGCTAGTGGGAGACTAATAACACAATGCTCAGCTGTGTGCTTTTTAAAATTAGTGATTTTAGTGCAAATGAGATGGCTCAGCGGGTAAAAATGCTTATTGTGTGAGCCTGACAACCCGAGTTTGATCCCTGGAACCAGAACGGAAGGAGAAAACTGACCTGCACACCTGTGCAGTGACAGAATTGTGTGCACACTCTCACACACAATAATACATTTTTAAGTTAGTGACATGTAAAATCAACTAAAATCAAGTAACTGAACATCAGTGATTCAAGGGGGCTGATACAGGTGTGCTCTCATTTTTCACTACTATTAATCGTTATGGAAATCTATCTTATCCACCACAGGACTGTGTACTGTGTGGAGGAATTTTGATCAGCTCTGATTCATTTTTTTTAAAGATTTATTTATTATGTATAGTTTTCTGTTTGTATGTATGCCTGCAGGCCAGAAGAAAGCGCCATATCTCATAACAAATGGTTGCTAGGAACTGAACTCAGGAGCTCTGGAAGAGCAGCCAGTACTCTTAACCTCTGAGCCATCTCTCCAGCCCCCCTGATTCATTTGTTTGGCTTCCCCTTCCTTAGAGTCTTTTCTGGCCATCTCTCAGCTTGTTCCCTATAGAATTAATCCTTCCTTGGGCAACATAGGTATCTTGTGCACACTTCCATTTTTTTCAGCTGATCATGTGATTATTTATATGCCTTCTAGACCACTAAAAAGTTGAAGGCAAGGAAAGTGTGCTAATGTAGTCCACAATTTGTTTTTGAGACAGAGTCTCATGTAACCCAGATTGAACTCTGAACTCCTGATCTTCCTGCTTCTACCTCCCAAGTCACAAGTTGCATTTTATTCTATTCTGTATCTCAGGTTGTTCTCAGTAAATGTTTGCTGAACTAAATCACTATCACAATACAAAGGGGGCAGACATGGAAACAAGGTCACAGTGATGTGTGCGTAGACAAGCAACTGTTGATATTAATAAAATCTCTACTTGTTTCTAGGTTTCCATCGCACAAATGTATCCCCTATTATGAAACCTTTTTCTGTTACAAAACATAACATTATCATGCTGTTACTGATTAATAGTGGGTAAGGTTTGTGGAATAGTTGTTCTGCTGGCATGGTAAAAGCTATTTATCTTGGCTATGATATAGTTGTAAAAGTCGGAATTTAGAGTTAGAAGAACAATACCTGAGCTCTTTTTTGTTTGTTTGTTTGTTTGTTTCGAGACAGGGTTTCTCTGTGGCTTTGGAGGCTGTCCTGGAAATAGCTCTTGTAGATCAGGCTGGTCTCAAACTCACAGAGATCCACCTGCCTCTGCCTCCTGAGTTCTGGGACTAAAGTCATGCACCACCGCCCGGCCAATATCTGAGTTCTTATTACTCTATTGTTTATCAGTATAATTTTATGACGTGACTGTCAGTTTAAGAAAAGCATGCAGATAACCCTTCATTGACTACTCAAATATTTATTTTTTATTAAATTTTGAATTATGTGTCTGTGTGTGGGTATGTGCATGTGAGTTCAAGTGACTAGAGGTAAGAAGGCATTAAATGCCTTATAGCTGGAGTTGCAGATTGTAAGCCTCCCAATGTAGGTCTTAGGGACCAAACACAGGTCTTTTGCAAGAGCAGCAAGCATTCTTAACTGCTGAACCATCTCTTCAGTCCCATTTATTTATTTGTTTATTATTTTTACCAATTAATCTTTTACTTTTATTGTACACATCCATATTCTACAAAAATAAGAGTTAACCTGGGGGCTGGAGAGATGGTTCGGCAGTTAAGAGCACTGGCTGCTCTTCCAGAGGTCCTGAGTTCAATTCTCAGCAACCACATGGTGGCTCACAACCATCTGTAATGAGATCTGGCGCCCTCTTCTGGCCTGCAGGCATCATGGAAACTGAACACTGAATACATAATAAATAAATAAACCTTAAAATCAACTTGGCTTTAAAAAATTAACCTGAAATTACACATCTTCTGGTTCCTTTCATTGCATTATCTTTATGTTATATGTGTACCTGTATCTAAAGTCCCCATTACTCAGCAGACTGAGGCAAAACAATTGCCTGGGCACAGAAGGTCAAGACGAACCTGGCCTGTACAACATAGTAAGAACCCACCTTAAAAAAAAAAGTTAAGTACTACCTATATGCCATCCATTGTGCTATCCCAATGGCTTTAACTAATACTCAGTGCATATCAAGATCACCCAGAAAACTTTGACAGTTATGGGTTCCCTAAAATAAGACACCCATACACCCTCAGCTTTAAGGACTTACTGGTCTAGTATCAGGCAGTGTTTCAACACCTGTTGGGCAAGCACCCTGTATTGATCTCCATTCACACCTACAGCCTCTCCTCTTTATCCATTTACTACTGTTTTGAGACAAGGTCTCACTACACAGCCCAGGCTAGCCTTGAACTTTTTTTTTTTTTTTAAGATTTATTTATTTATTACACACACAGTGTTGTGCGTACATGCCAGAAGAGGGCACCAGATTGAATTGTAGATGGTTGTGAGCCACCATGTGGTTGGTGGTAATTGAACTCGGGACCCCTGGAAGAGCAGTCAAGTGATCTTAACCTCTGAGCCATCTCTGGCTGCTCTTCCAGAGGTCCTGAGTTCTTAACCACTGAGCCATCTCTCAGGCCCTCAGCAGTAACATTTTTTAAAACTCAAGGGACTATTATTTGTTGAGCCCCATCTCTAAAACTGTACTACATCTAGGTGGATTGGCAATTTACATTTTTAGTCAGATTTGGTGGCATACACCTTTAATCCCAGCACTCTGGGGGCATAGGCAGAAGGATCTCTGTGAGTTCAGAGCTAGCTGGGGCCACACAGTGAGTTCTATGCCAGAAGGGCTATGCAGAAAGAACCCTTACCAAAAAAAAAAGGAGGGAAGGAAGGGAGGGAGGGAGGGAGAGAGTGAGGGAGGGAGGGAGGGATGAAGAAAAGAAAAGAAAAAGAGAGAAAAGCTGGGCAGTGGTGGCACACATTTTTAATCCAGCACTGGGGAGGCAGAGACAGGTAGACCTCTGAGTTCAAGTCCAGCCTGTGTAGTTGTCCCGACCCTCGGGACAGCAACCTAGAGCAAGAAGTTCAGGGAGGGGAATGGAGACAAGAGATGCGAGAGAATGACCACAAGACAGGATTCTGATCAAGTGTCGAATTTTATTTTTTCCAGGCTAGCTTATATAGTCAGTCGTACGGGGCAAAGGGGAGGGGGAGAAAAGGTCAAGAGCCAGGTGTTAGTTTAAGCAGGATGTTAGAAAACTATAGAAGGAGGATATTGGCAGGGGAAAAAGTTCATGGGTGGTAGGGGGAGGGAGGGTTACCTAGGTAAGTGGTGGGGTGAGGGAGGGTTGCTTAGGTAAGTCACGGGACACGGGAGGGTTGCTTAGGCAAGTGGGCCTGTGGTTGGAACAAAGGATTGACGTCTGGGTCATGTTGTTCCTTCTGGGTGCTCATGCTTCTAGAAGCCATTTATAATCAAAAGACAGTTCTATAACCCTGTGGCCTGCCAAGTTTGGCCTAAAGGTTCATGCCAAGCTGTATGGCTCCCAAAAAGCCTGGTCTACAGAGCAAGTTCCAGGACAGCCAAGGCTACACAGAGAAACCCTGTCTCCTAACAAACAAACAAACAAAAAACAAAACGAAAAAACAAGAGAGAAAAAAAAATGAGCCAGGCATTGGTGGTGCACGTCTTTAATCCCAGCACTCGGGAGGCAGAGGCAGGCGGATCTCTGTGAGTTTGAGCGAGTGCCAGGATAGGCTCCAAAGCTACACAGAGAAACCCTGTCTCGAAAAAAAAAAAAAAAAAAAAAAAAAAAAAGAAAAAAGAAAAACAAGAAAAAGAAGAAAAATGAATTTACATTTCTAAAAAGTCCCAGCTGATACTGATACCATTGATTTCAGGATGTACTGACATTACTTTAGAACTGGACAGAAACAGGGCTGGTGACAAAGAACATTGGCTGCTCTTGCAGACTACCTGGCTTTGATTCCCAGCATCATAACAAACATCTGTAACTCCAGTTCCAGGGGATCCAGTGCCCTCTTCTGGTCTCTGCAGGAACTGCAGCCACAAGGTGCACAGATACACATTCAGGCAAAACACCCATACACAAAAAAAGATAACTGGGCAGTAACAACTGCCTGGTTAGTAACTCATATGCAAACTGAAGTCCCCATTTTTTTAAAAGTATGCACTACTGTATAACTATTACATATAAAAGCAAAACATTTTACTTACGCTGTTCATGAGACCTAGGACCTGAGTTGATCCAAAGAAGTGTTTAAAGCTGTGTGAATAAGTCGCACCGTAGAGGTGGACGTATAAAAACTGTGAATTCAAAAAATGCCGGGCGTCGGTGGCGCACGCCTTTAATCCCAGCACTTGGGAGGCAGAGGCAGATGGATCTCTTGTGAGTTCGAGACCAGCCTGGTCTACAAGAGCTAGTTCCAGGACAGCCTCCAAAGCCACAGGTAAACCCTGTCTCGAAAAACAAAAACAAAAAAACAAAAAACAAAAAAAATTTTAAAAAGTGTGAATTCAAGGTGACCCTTACATATCCAGTTTCAGAACAAAAAACCGACGGCGGCAGAGGGGGGACGGGAGAAGGAGCAACAATTACTGATTAGTTACATTTATTCTTTAGAGTTATAATTACAGAAAGAATTCTACCTATTTTTAACAGAGATCAGGGAGATCTTTTGGCTCTAGTAGAGTTTGCTTCTGTAAATAAAAAGGCACGGCATAAAATAGTAAACAACTAATCTTTATTGAACACTATACTAGACAATTATGAAATGTCTCTAAATCCATTGCAACTCGATGCTCGATAGGCATTATTTTCGTTGTAGTAAAGAAGTGAAGAAGTGTCCAAGCATTGAACTAAGGGACCCAAACTCGAACACATAAGCACACAACCTCATAGCAAGGGTAGTACCGTGTCACCACCACGCGTGGCTCAAAGGTCGGGGGGTAAGATCTACCTGCGGGACGCAAATCAATGGGTGAAAGGTTAACAGGAAGTGGCTACAAGACTAGAGGTTCTTAATGTGTCACAGCATGACAGAGGAGGCGTTACTAAAATAGTTTTCTCAACACCCTCTCAGCTGGTAAAGCCATAAAGAGTCTGTAATATCTGGAAGAAAACAAAAACAAAAACAAAAACAAAGCATGATTCTCAGGGTTGCTGCCCAGACAGCAGCCACAACGGGAGATAACAAAGGCGCATGCGCGGCATCCGGGTTTCCGGATGCGCGCCTAAGGCCGACGTGGCAAAGGGGTGGCTCCCCCAGTCCTACAGCATGGGGCGGAACTTCCGGGGACGGCACGCCAGCTCCCTCGGAACCGGAAGTGGAGCCTGGGATCCTTGACGTTAGGAACGAAGTCGAACCTGGATCTGGAGCCGGGTGAGGAGTGGCATCGCGAGGTTGCGCGGTGGGGAGGAATGCTGAGGAGAGGCCAGGGTATTTCTGGTCTGGCCGTGGTCCGGTTTTAGAGGAAAGGGAGGAGCCTGGAGGCGGGGTCTGGGAAGAGACCCTCACCTCCCGCATCCGTGACCGGCGATCGGTCCCAGACCCCTCCCTTCACCTCCTGGCCCAGGTTCCGGCTCTCGCCTCGCCTTCCCGGAATGTTGAAGGGCTTTAGAAGCTTGGTCTTTACTGCTTAATGAACCGGCCCTCATCGTGGCCCTAGAGGCTGGCGTGGCTTGCTGATCTCGATCCCTGGAGCTCCCAAGCCTCTGCATCTCGGGTACTTTCAGAGTTCTAGGAGGCTTGCCCCGCCCCTTTGGGTTGTCACCCTCGACTGTCCACCTAGAATGGAGTCAAGATTGGAGTTTGACTCCAAGCTTATTGCGTTGCTCTCTCTCTTGACCTGAGGAAGTTAAAGTGAGAGGGACGTCTCCCAAGCTCACTGTCAGTGGCATGTGTAAGGTTTAGGGTTTGGAAGGACAGTTCCTAAAATGGCTTTGACTTTACAGAGTTACCAGTCCGGTAGCAGTTCATCTTTTGGGCTTTGCTAGCAGACCTGAGTGAGAGGTCACACTCTTCCTGGGCCCCCTTCTGCCTGTAGAATAATTAGAATGATAAGATTGTTTAGATCTGCTGTCCCCCTTCTTGGAATGACCCTTGAAAGGACCTCCAACTCATCCCTCTGTTGCTGGGCAAGACTGCAATAGTTTTGATAGCGACCTATCAAGCAAACATTAGAACAGAAACCGAATTACCCGACATGCTTTTGGATTTAGAATACCCATACTCCTCTGCTTGAGGAATGAAATGAATGAACTTGTAATGGAATATTGCTTGCTAGGTATTCAGGTGTTCTCTACCTTTTTTTTTTTTCTTCTCTGTGTAGCTCTGGCTGTCCTGGAACTCTCTCTCTCTGTAGACCAGGGTAGCCTTGAACTCAAAGAGATCTTCCTGCCTCTGCCTCTCAAGTGCTGGAACTAAAGGCGTGCACCATGACTGCTCAGCTATTGTTTTTTGATTTTGCTTTTTTGTCTTTGCAGGATTAATACACTGTTCTCATGGAAAGTCTGGGGTCAGAGTATCATTTGGATTATTGTAGGTCAGAGAAAGATGCCATTTCTCCCAGACAATTCTACAGTTGTCTTTTGTGGGGGAGGGATTTTAGTTGATCCATTTTTAATTTTTTTTGTGTGTTAGTAGTTCAAAACAGCTCAGCACATTTGAAGTTACTCAAGTGTTTATTGCCTGAATGGATGAGTTGATGGTAGACAGAATGAATGGAAAGTGGAAACATTGTTTTATTTACTTGTAACATCATGGTATTTATCAGCCAGGGGACTCTGTGTGACTAGACACTGAAAATCATACCACTGGAGAATGTCTGCTGTTCTGTTCCATTAGGTCTGTCTGAAGTTGAAATTTATACCTTCTTGGCAGTGACACAACATGGGGTTCACAGTAACTAAATCCTTGCTTTGAAGAAAGTGACTGGGTACTGGCTGGGGCAGGAAGTTACTGAGATCTGTGGTAATGTGGAAACAGTTTATCTGATCACTGCCTGATAAGGCCAATCCCTTTTTGTCTTTTCCTTCCTTCCCTGAATAGTTGCGCTCTCCTCAGAAAGTGTTTTGACTAATTTCTTTCTTTTCCTTCCTCCAATAGGTAAGATCAAATCGGGGATGCTCTCATAATGAATGTCAATCAATCAGCTCCACCTGTTCCACCATTTGGGCAGAACCAGCCCATCTACCCAGGGTATCATCAGTCCAGTTATGGTGGGCAACCAGGACCTGCAGTAGCTGCTACTCCCTATGGAGCCTACAATGGCCCAGTGCCAGGGTATCAGCAAATACCTCCCCAAGGTATGTTTCCAGGTTCCTTTTGAGTGGAGGAAGGGAATGAGCAGTCTTCACATTAGATTGTATTGCTCTGACGAAGCTGCTTAAGGACTGTGATTAAAGAACATGAATCTGGCTCGCCCCATGAGGCATACAAAGGTATGTCTCACCCTGTTTTTACATTTGTGACTGTTGCCACCATAAGACACCTAATGGGAATGAATTCCAGATTCAATTAACAGCTGACTTCTGTGGATGTCACCCCGGACAGTCTCACCTGGCTGCATTGTTAAGAGCTAGACAAGGGTTGTAGTCACAGGTTTTCCATTGCCTACTGATTTCAAGTTTGCCTGACATCACTTGTTCCTCATACGTGTTGAGAATGCTTATTTGACTTCTAGTTCTGACTATAAAATGACTCTGAGACACATTTATGTGTAAATGAATCTGGGAGGAAAAGTGTATTTGTATGGCTGACTTTTAGTATTCCTAGTCTCTTGTTGTATTTTGTTTTCCTTTGCTTGGGTTTCATTTTCTTAGATGTTTGACAATATCAGTGAAATAAGAAAACTTATTGCATTAGACTCTATGCCCCCAGCCCTCAGTGTTTTGTTTTATGTTACTTTTTCAAGAATAGCTCATTCTCTGCATGCTACCAGGCAGACTTGCAATGTTATTAACAGAAGACTTTTGGGTTTGGCTCTCTGATTACTTAGAGCAATGCCAAATGCTGTGTTGCTTAAGAAAGTAGATTCCACAGGCACAGGCCTGTAATCCTGTGAGGGAAGCTGCAGCAGGAGGATTGTGGGTTCAAGGCCTGCCTGTGCTATAGAGTAAATTCAAGTTCAGCTTAGGTAACAGAGTAAGATTCAGTCTAAAAATAAAAAGTGAAAAAGAAGATATAAATCATTAACAAAATGCTTGCCTAACATGTATGAGATCCTAGGTTCAATCCCCAGAACCACCAAAAAAAACAAAAACAAAAACAAAAAAAACCAAAAAACCCATAAAGACGGATGGGGTTAAAGGCTTGAGGTAGCTCAGCAGGTAAGGTGCTTACCACTAAGCATAATGACCTGAACTCAATCCCTGAGACCCACACCGTAGAAGGAGGTAACAAGTTGTCTTCTGATCTCCACACAAAATAAATGCATCAGTGTAATTTTATGGGGGTAAGAGAGATGGCTTAGTGGCACTTTTTAATTCTTGTAGAAGACCCGAGTTCAATTCCCAGCACCCACATGGCAGCTCATAACCATAACTCCAGTTTCAAGAGACCCAGTACCCTCTTCTGACCTCTGCAGGCACCAGTCGTCTGGGAACTTGCTCTGTAGATCAGGCTGGCCCAAAACTTAGAGGTTTGCCTGCCTCTGCCTCCTGAGTACTGGAATTAAAGGCCTAGATTACCACACCTGGCTCTAGAGTACATTTAATAAAGAGGGGAAGAAGGTACCAGTCAGTCAAGGCATGAACAGGTTTTGAAAATGAATGAAATATTACCATTTTAGTCACACTGTAAAAAAAAACAAAAACCAGTAAAGTGCTAAAATTAGATCTTGGTTCTATAGAAAAGCCTTGTTCTGGGTTGAAACTTTGATGGGACAGAGTCCACTTCTGCTCTGTTAAGTTTGACTTCAGAATGGAGCTGTCATTGTCTTCTGAGAGAAGTTTGTCACAAAAGGGAAATCTATCTGCTTCTGTTATTGTTTGTGAGCAAGTTTGGCTTCTGAATCTGATCTCTCCTGGGGGTCAGAAACATTTCAACAGTGATTTTCCAAGTAACTCATCATTTGTTTGTGCTGCAGTATGGCTAAGCTTAGTGGGAGTAGTTTGGAGGGGAGATCTGATCCAAGCAAAGGACAGAGAGACCAGATTTTGTGAGAATGTAGGTAACAAGCATTAACAACGGGATAAGCCATCTGTCAGGATAGATCTCTTGGAGAAAAAAAAAGCCTCTGACTTGTGAGAGTTTTATCAAACATGGAAGTGTGTAAAAAAAAAAAAAGCATGATAGGATATATAAAATATACCAAGCGCTTTTAATCCCAGCACTCGGGAGGCAGAGGCAAGTGGATCTCTGTGAGTTCCAGGCCAGCCTGGTCTTCAGAGCGAGTGCCAGGATAGGCTCCAAAGCTACACAGAGAAACCCTGTCTCGAAAAACAAAATAGATAAATAAATTAAAAATAAATAAAATATACCAAGAAGAGAGAATCAGAACAGCCCTCAGGGGAGTGCCTTTCTTGTGGAAGAGCATTTGACTAGCATGTCTGAAGCCCTGGACTCAGTACCCAGCCCTGTAAAACAAAACAAACAAATAACATCCCCCTTCAGTTTCTTGAACTTCTGATCCTCTTGACTCCCAAATGCCAGGATTATAGGGATACATCCCCATATGCTTTATTTTAGATTTATTTTCTTTACTGGTGAGAATGTTTTGTCTGTGTGTATGCATTGAGAAGTCAGAAGACGGAGTCAGACCCTCCGGAATTTGATTACAGATGGTTGTGAGCCACCATATGGGTGCTAGGATTGGAACATAGGTCTTTGCAATTAAAACCCAGGTCCTGAACTATTAAGCCATCTTTCCAAGCACTCTCTGCCAGGCAGCTTTTTATGTGGTGCTGGGGGTTGAATCCAAGGCTTCATACTAGGCAAAAAACTGACCACATCTCCAGCCCCTTAGTTTCTTTCTCCTTTTTCTTTTATCTTTTCTTCCTTCCCTTTATCCCTCCTTTCTTTGTATTTACTTTCTCTGGAGACAGGGTCCCACTATGTAGCTCTGGCTGTTGTAGAACTCAATATGTCGACCAGGCTGACCTTGAAACTCTGCCTAGTAAGTGCTCCCATTAAAGGCATGTACCACCACACCTGGCCACCTCCCTAGTTTCTTTCTTTTCTTTTTTTCTTCTCTTTCTTTAAAGATTTATTTATTATTTATACAGTCTTCTGTCTGCAGATACGCCTGTAGGTCAGAAGAGGGCACCAGATCTCATTACAGATGGTTGTGAGCCATCATGTGGTTGCTGGGAATTGAACTCAAGACCTCTGGAAGAGCAGTGAGTGCTCTTTAACCTCTGAGCCATCTCTCCAGCCCCCTCCCTAGTTTCTTATAGAATAGTCCACTATATTCTTGCTCATCATCTTCTGTACCACCTTTCTCTGTATCCTCCAAGTTTGTTTGTTTGTTTGTTTGTTTGTTTGTTTCTTTTTTCTGTTTAACGAGGCAGGGTTTATCTGTGTAAAAGCCCTGACTGTCCTGGAACTTGCTTTGTAGACCTGCTTCTGCCTCCCGAGGACTGGGATCAAAGGGATGCACCACTGCCATCCAGCTGTCCTCCAAGTTTCTAAGTTGTGGAGTTAGATATTTTCCTAAGAAGGGATGAAGGCTGTCTTAGATTGAGTGAGAGGGTGTGTGTGTGTGTGTGTGTGTGTGTGTGTGTGTGTGTGTGTGTGTGTGTTGATCAAAGGAAGGTCCTCCATGTGTTGCTCTGCCTAGCTTCACCCTAATATGTTGAAGAAAGTAGCCTATTTGTTGGATATCCACATGCCAAATACTGCTGTAGTGAGAGTTGTATGGCATCCTTTTTTTTTTTTTTTTTTTTTAATTTTATTTATTTATTTATTATGTATACAGTCTTCTGCCTGCATGCCAGCAGAGGGCACCAGATCTCATTCAAGGTGCTTGTGAGCCACCATGTGGTTGCTGGGAATTGAACTCAGGACCTCTGGAAGAACAGTCAGTGCTCTTAAACGCTGAGCCATCTCTCCAGCCTGGCATCCTTTTTTGTTGTGTAGGTAGAGTCAGTGAATGTTTCTTTTGTTGATTCTTGCTTTGCAGTCCTGCCTCAAAGTGGAGGAGAAAGTTGTTTCCCAATCATTTAGTTTCTGTCTTTCATCCTCAGGTGTACCGAGAGCCCCACCTTCTTCAGGGGTACCTCCAGCCTCAACAATGCAAGCCCCCTGTGGTCAGACTGCATATGGCCAGTTTGGTCAAGGTGATATACAGAATGGGCCAAGCTCCACAGCTCAGATGCAAAGGTATGTACTGGGTGAGCCTAAAATCAGCATAATGAAAGTGGATTATGAATGTGTGAGGATCTTTTTTTTTTTTAATTCTCTTAGATTCTTTCTTCTCCTCCCTCTATCCTGTTTATCTTCTTTCAATTATTTTCATTATATTTATTTATTTTGTATGTTGTCCCGGCCATCTGGGCACCACGCGAGCTCACACCTTGATGTGCTGCAGTCACCAAAGAACCTGGAATGAAAGAGTCAGGGGGCACAAAGAACAACAGCAAGACAGGCTTTCTGATCAAGCTGCAAATTTTTATTTTTCATAGAGACCTTATATAGTGTTGCCAGGCGGGAAGCTTGTCAGGCAGGGAGAGGCCGTTTGAGGCCATTTGCCTGATAACCAGACCATGGAATGTCCCTGTGTGTGAGTCCTTGAAGGCAAGCGGGGAGTGCAGGATGCTTGGCAAGGTCGGATAGTGCAGGTGCTTAGATAGTTGGGTTACAGAATGCATGGGGGCAAGGGTTGCTAGGTAACCTGACTGTGAAATGTTTCTTTCTTTCTATAAGCTACTTCTGTAAGCCCAAATGCTATTTGGGGAGGGAAGAACTGAAGGCAGCTATTTTCTTTTAACATAATGGGTTATTTTTTTGTTTGTTTGTTTTTGAGGATTTTATTCATTTTTTATGTATACAGTGTTCTCCCTGCATGCTAGAAGAGGGCGCCAGATTTCATTACAGATGATTGTGAGCCACCATGTGGTGCTTGGATTTGAACTCAGGATCTCTGGAAGAGCAGCCAGGACTCTTAACCTCTGAGCTATCTCTCTAGCACCCCATAATGGGTTATTCTTAAAATGCTGGCAACTTTCTCTGAAGCAGTTCAAGTGTCTTACAGGTCTAAGGTTATTTTTGCCATGGCTCCCGACAGTATCTATGAATGATATGTGTGTGGGCATGTGTGCCGTAGGGTACATGTGGAGGGTCAGCGGACACCTTGTAGGAATTGTTCTGTCCTTCCAGCATGTGGGTTTTGGGGATCAGAGTCACAAAGATCTGTACCCACTAAGCCATGTTGCCAGTCCTTGCCTTCTTCTTCCCAGGTTACAGGTACTACTAATGTCTAGCCCTATTATGGATCCATGTTAGTACTTCGGCTCGTTTCCATATTATCTTTCTGTGAACCTGAATTTCTTCCTCTTTATCAGACATTTTCACAGTGGTTCTAGTCCCCATGAGCCTCTGCTAGGGGGGAAACTGGAAGAGGGAGCTCAGAATTGTTTGTGTCACCCCTTTTTTACTAGACCAAGCAACTAAGTAGGACTGATTGGTTAAATGTACATGCCAGTCAGGAAATGAAAAGACTCAGAAGGAAAGCTCATCAATAATGAGAACTTGAGAAACCCCTGTTACAGGACAGAAATCATGTCTGTCAGAACATTGTTTGTAATAGTTTAAAAAATATAATTGGGTAGCGACGAGAAAGTGAAAAAGTCCTTTCTGGAACTTACCAAGTGCTTGTATTCATAAATTAGCACTGAATATAAGTCTTAGAAAGGCAATGTGGGACACAATAGACGATGATAGACAAACAGATATACCTAAAGATGCAAGATAGGGTAAGGATGTGGGTTATTTGTGAGGAGGTTGGAGCTATTTTAAACAGGCTGGTCAGGTGAGCCTCTGTGAAGTATTTGAGACTTTAGTGGGATGGAGAAGTAAGCCATGGAAGACCTGAGGGAAGAGTATTTTAGGTGGAGGGTATAGTAAATGGAAAGGCGCTGAAGTGGAAATTTATATGGTGGACATGAAGAAGAGGTCAATGTATAGTTGGAGTGTCGTCAGTAGTGTAGTCAGTAGTAAAGCCCTGGAAAAATATTCAATAGTGAGGTAAGAGAGAGACCTATAGAGAGTGAGTGTTTCAGGGTGGGGGGGCTGGAGAGGTGGCTCAGCATTAACAGCTCTTGCAGAGGACTTGGCTTCAGTTTCCAGCACCCACATGGAGGCTCACAACCATCCATAACTCCCGTTCCAGGGGATTCAAGCCCTCTTTGGGCCTCTTTGGGTACCCGGCACATATGTGGTACACATACATGTCTGCGGATCTTTCTGTCCCACCTGCAGTCTCCCAAATAACCACACAGAAACTTCTTATTAATTATGAAAGCTTGCCTAACAGCCTAGGCTTGTTTCTAACTAGCTCTTATAACTTAAATTAACGTATTTCTATTAATTTACATGTTGACAAATGGCTCATGGTTTGTTACCTCATCTCCTCATGTCATGCTTTTCCTTCATCTGGCTGGCAACTCCGCCCTTTTCTTCCCACAGATCTTTTTGCCCTAAAGTCCTGCCTATACCTCCTGCCTAGCTATTGGCTGTGCAGCTTGTTTTTTTTTTTTTTTTTTTTTTTTCCTCTTTGGTTTTTCGAGACAGGGTTTCTCTGTGTAGCTTTGGAGCCTATCCTGGCACTCGATCTGGAGACCAGGCTGGCCTCAAACTCACAGAGATCCATCTCTGCCTCCCGAGCACTGGGATTAAAGGCGTGCACCACCAACGCCTGGCCATTGTCATTTTTTTATCTTTTGGTTTTTTGGAGACAGGGTTTCTCTTTGTAACAGCTCTGGCTGTCCTAGAACTAGCTCTGTAGACCAGGCTGGCCTTAAACTCACAGACATCTGCCTGCTGCTGCCTCCCAAGTACTGGGATTAAAGGCATGCATGCACCGCCACTGCCTGGCCTCTATTCCGTTGTTTTGTTGTAGGGTTAGATTAAAAAGAAAAATTGTAGATACTATATGGAGATGTGGTGGAGCACTTGACAGAATAACACTGGGCAGCTGATAACATTAATCCACACTACTAGAGCAACATAATTAGTCTGTCAAGATTCATTGAGCATCTGCTGTATGGTTAACAGTATGTTCAGTATTGTGCACTACAAAATAATGCAATGCCCAACAAAGAGCAGAATTACTAGTTGGAAGCAGCATTAGGGATGGGGGAATAGTTCACCATTATAGTACTTGCTTGCCTACTTGCAAGTCACTGTGTTCAAGTCCCAGCACAACACACACATAAACAGATACCAGTTGAAGGAAAATTGACTGGCTGGCTGGCTAAAACTAAAGAACAGATGGAGCTGATCAAACAGAAAGTACTAGTTATTTAGTAGAGGTAAAATGAGGCAGGGAGGGAGGGCCTGGGGAGAAGGTTCGGTGGGTAAAGTGCCTGACGACTTGGGTTCGACCCCATAACCAATTCCAGATGCATGGTGCACACAGTGCACTCTCTCAGTGAGATGGGATGTGGGGACAGGAAAATTGGGCAAGCCTGAGGGCCAGTTAGCCTGGAGTATGCTGTACAGTAGATACTAGAACATGGTAGAATTTGAGAACTGATGTCTGAAAGGTGTCTTCCAAACTACACACACACAACTACACACTCACCCTGGCACGAACGTGGATATTCATGCACTCACAGGGAAAAAAATGGGCATGCATGCACTCACTGAGATAGGATGTCACTGTGTAGCTCTGGCTGCCCTAGAACTCACTCTGGAGACCAGGCTGGCCTCAAATTCACAGAGATCCACCTGCCTCTGCCCTCCCAGTGTTGGGATTAATGGCTTGTGCCACTACATCTGGCTAAAAAGAAAAAAAAATATTAAACTGAATTAATTTTAAAGAGTGTAAGTCAGAATTTCAGTGTAAGAGACTACTGTTTTGATGGCTTTAATCCATCCCAAGTCCCAGATGGAGTGTCTATGTTGCAAATATCTGCAATAAGATCTTCATGAGACATCAGAGCAGCTGCCTACATTTGGTGTCTAGTGAAACTGGCATGATTAGTATTCATATTTGAATGCATTGTCATTGTGCGAGTGTCTAAGGTAGTTATTCAAGTGCTCAGGTATTGCTAGTTCTTCCGAAAGGGTACTTGGTGCATCATTTCTCTAATCCTTCCTTGGAACAGCGAGCATCATCCTTCCAGTTAGTATCTAATGCCAGTCTCAGACAACCTGCTTCCTTAGCTCACTGATTGTTCTCACACCATCCCAAGATGAAGTCATAGATACTCTAGTTGAACAATCAAGTTATATTGATTTGTCTCAGTGTTTCTTGAGTAGGCACTTGCAGTGAATCTGCTTATGTGTGCCTTTCCTTTCAACTTCTTCAGGTGTAGATTACAAAACTGAGGCAGTTTGTCCACATAGGACTGAGGCTAAGGAGATGATAACTTCTCAATCAAACTAAACATTATTTGACCTGAGGGTGCTTGGTATTTGTAGAGTAAACCTAGTGGAAAGTAAGCTTTGCCACAAATCTTTTTTTGTGTAGACAATCAAAAATTCATTTGGCCACAACTACACAAGTATGAAGCTATCAAAGATCTCAGGATGAACATAAAATTCCAGAACACAATGTAGCTTCCTGTAATGGTGTGGAACTCTGCCAACTTCAACAGACATCTCACCCTTGTAGTCACCCCTGCTTTCATTCTCTTTACAGGCTTCAGGGGTCTCAGCAGTTTGGGTCCCCATTGGCTCCTGTGGTCAGCCAGCCAGCCGTGCTTCAGCCCTATGGCCCTCCCCCCACAAGTACACAGGTGACTGCACAGCTTGCTGGAATGCAGATCAGTGGTGCTGTGTCCCAAGCCCCTCCCTCTTCTGGGTTGGGCTATGGTAAGTAGTAGTGGGACCGGGATGCTATCATCCACTTTTAAGAAGTTATGGTTCTGGTGCATGGCTTTAATCCCAGCACTTGGGAGGCAGAGACGGGCAGATTTCTGTCAGTTCGAGACCAGCATGATCTGCAAGAACTAGTTAGTTCCAGGACAGCCTCCAAAGCCATAGAGAAACCCTGTCTCGAAAACGACCCCCCTCAAAAAAAAAAAAAAAATACAAAGAAGTTTTGGTTCTGGGCATACTTTTTTACTTCCTGTGCCTTTGAGTTCCAGATACAGAGACAGTCATATTTGTTTCTTTTTGGTGGGATAGAAAGAATTTACCATACGAGGCAGAATGACTGGGCCTCCATCTCTGCCTCTTATGTTTCTCAGGTCCACCAACATCATTGGCCTCAGCCTCAGGAAGTTTCCCTAACTCTGGTCCATATGGCTCCTATCCTCAGAGCCAGGCTCCTCCCCTTAGCCAGGCTCAAGGTCATCCTGGAGTCCAGCCTCCCCTGCGATCTGCCCCACCACTGGCTTCCAGCTTCACATCCCCAGCTTCAGGTGGTCCTCGGATGCCTTCCATGACTGGTCCACTCCCGCCTGGACAGGGCTTTGGGAGTCTCCCAGTGAGCCAGCCCAACCACGTATCCTCGACTCCTGCTCATGCCCTGCCCCCAGGCACCCAGATGACTGGCCCCCCAGGACCACCACCACCTATGCACTCCCCTCAGCAGCCAGGTTATCAGCTGCAGCAAAATGGTGAGTTGTCCTACCCCTGTTACTCTCCTCTTCCCCTCACCCCAAGCATCTGGCTATAAGCCAAAGCCTTCAGCTATTCAGGGCTTTTTTTTTTTTTTTTTTTTTTTTTTTTTTTTTTTTTTTTAGATTTATTTATTATATATACAGGGTTCAGTCTGCATGTATGCCTGAAGGACAGAATAGGGCACCAGATCTCATTATAGATGGTTGTGAGCCACCATGTGGTTATTGGGAATTGAAATCAGGACCTCTAGAAGAGCAGCCAGTGCTCTTAACCTCTGAACTGTCTCTCCAGCCCCTATTCAGGGCTTTTTGTTTGTCTTGGTACTGCTTGCTAAGTAGTAAATTAGATGGACAGCTTTGAGGTACCATTACTAGGATGTGAGAGGTTTATATGACATTTTTCTTGTCTCTTAGTTCATTCAGATAGTGTGGGCTTTCTTTGAGTGTCTTCCTCAGGCACAGGTACACCCCATAATCTGCTTCAAAGAGTCCAGTTATTTTCCTGAGTCCTTTAGCAGAGATAGGGAAGGGATTTTGAGTTTGTCAACTTTGTGCCCTTGTTTCTCAGGTTCCTTTGGTCCAGCCCGCGGCCCTCAGCCTAATTATGAGAGCCCGTACCCTGGAACACCTACCTTTGGCAGTCAGCCTGGGCCTCCTCAGCCACTGCCTCCTAAGCGCCTGGACCCTGATGCCATCCCCAGCCCTGTAAGTAGGTGCTTATGTGGTCTTGGGAAAACACATGTCTGCCAGATGAGCAGGCTAACCTAGATGAGATGTTTGCTTGGCATTTTCTGATAACATTCCCTTTTCGCCGGGCATTGGTGGCGCACGCCTTTAATCCCAGCACTCGGGAGGCAGAGGCATGCGGATCTCTGTGAGTTCCAGGCCAGTCGGGTCTCTAGAGCGAGTGCCAGGATAGGCTCCAAAGCTACCCAGAGAAACCCTGTCTCAAAAAACAAAAACAAAACAAAACAAAACAAAAAAAATTCCCTTTTCAATCATCATCTTGACGATTTAGAATTTAGATGTGACGTCTAAACTTTTGAAATGGAATTTGAAGTCCCCAAAGTCTTTTAGGGCAGTTTTAATCCACAGCTATATAGAGGAGAAAGGGGAACCAAGAGTGATCAGTCATGTTGGTAAAGCTCTGGGTTGAGGCCTATGTTCTGTTGTTTTTGGAAATAATAACAACACTGTCACCTTTGCCATTCTGTGTAGTAGTGGCCAGGTATCACTCCGTAGATCTAGTAGGACATCATTCTTGATTGCTAGAGCAGATAGGAGCTCTCTGGTGTTAGGTGATCAGAGCAGGAAAGCCTCACTGGTTCCTCTCTGCTCCTATATGGGTAGTTTTATCAGACTACCAGTACTATGCCCCCAGTACTATTGATTGGCAGGTCCCTGCTGTGTGGATGAGGAGCAATCATAGTGTATAAAGGCAGTGTGCTTGTAAAGTTCATTGAGGAAGCTGCTTGTCCCCCAGAGCTAATGGAATCCTCAGCCCTTCCTTATCAGACATGGGTAGAGTAGTTCTTCCACTTGGGCCCACTTTATAACCTGTCTGTAACATCGATGTCAGTTACCTCTTCATACTTAGCCATTGTCATATTCCATTCGTTCTCTTCCCTCTTCCTTTGGGGAACTACCATGGTTAGGAAGCTTGTTAGCTGAGGGGAACCCAAGAGTACTGACAGCCCCTCCTTCTCTCTTCCTTGGAAGAAGAGCCTAGCTGGATGGCCAAGGCATCTTCCAGCATGAGTTCTTAGGTGTAGGTTTGGCCTGCTAGGGAACTTCCTGTTCCTCAAGGTTTTTCCCATTAGGGCTTCCTTAAAGAGTCCTGCTTGTCTCCTGCTTGCTCCACCTGACTTTATCTTGCTCCATGGTAGTCTGAGTCACTGAGGCCTCCTTATGAGGCCTCTGTTGGTCTAGAGAGACTTGGAATTCCAGATCTACTGGGTCCCTGACTTCCACAGTCCAAGCTGGGCTCCAGCTCTTCATGTCTGATTCACCAGAGTTAGTGAAGTAACACTGCCTCTCGTTCTTTTGTCTCCCTCCCTGTATACCCCTGCTGCCTTTATTATTAAAACACTAAAAGCAACTTAATGAGCTGCCTCCTCAGCAGAAAACCAGGCACAGAATAGACCCTGATGCCATTCCTAGTCCAGTAAGTGCAGGGGTGGGAGTGTGTGCTTGTCATCCCTGTGTTAGTGCCACTCATGCATGCCTGTGACTTCACCTCATCCGCCATGTCCATCCCTTTCCATTCTCTTCCCTGAGCCCTTCTAGATCCTTGCTTTTATAAGCTGAAGGATATGCATGCCCCCAGTCACCATGTATGGAAGAGGAAGCAAGCTGTTAGCAGTGCCTTGAGTATGGGACGGTGGATGGTCAGGCTCTGAGGGTGGGCCTGGTAGCATGTTAAGCTTTGGTTTCAGTCCTGCTGGCTCCTCCAGGGGCTTGTGTGTGGCATGTGGTGGAACCAGACAGAGTCAAGCAGCAGATCTTTAAAGTTTGATGTGAGGAGAAATGTTCTAGTGGGTGGCTATGAACGTCCAGGTTCATGGCATTTCTTACAAGGGAGGAGATTGCTTGTTCTGGGAGAGTGTGGGCCACCTTCTCATCTGGGGAGTCAGACTGTGGCGTATCTCCAAGCTTCGGCTCTTTCTGCTGCTGGATACAGTCTTATTTGCCCTTTACTTTTTCTGGTTTTATCAAATTCATCTTGAAGTAACTGACCAAAGGTCACCAGTGTGAACAAGGGTCTGATTGCCAGCTTTGCATATCCTTTTTGTTTTGTTCTCCTCAATGTCTTGTCACAAGTAGAAGTTTGAGGGCTGGGCCATAAGGATTGGGCATTTACCCTCTCCTCTATGGACCCACCAGTGCTCACCTGAAAGGAAGGCAGCATTTGCTTCCTTACTTTTCCAGATCATTTCTGGCTGTTGAATTCTCTCCTCCCCGTGTTCCTTGTTAATTTCATTGAGTGTAGAGCCATTCCAGGTAGATTCATTTCTACATGGGTTTCTGTTATCTGTTCTTGCTCTGACTCAGTGTGTCTTCTGGAGAGGGAGGGAGGAAAAGTTGATGGGGATGGAGAGTGGAATCTAATCATGCCTTATGGTTTGGGGTCAGAGTTGAAGCTTTCCTGGAGTGGGAGGAATAAAAGGGTATTCACTAATGACTGGAGGTCAGGGGGGATTTTACCAGAAAGTCCATTCTCACCAAGGCCCACCCAGCATCTCCTACCAGCTGGTGGGAAGTGGAAAGCCAGCATTGTAGCATTTGATATGGACTACAAAAGACAGCATGCCTGGTGCATGAAGTGGGTTTTTTTGGCAAGTTCTTTGTTCTTGTGCTACAGTCTGGCCTGCCTTTGTCTTGGAACTTCTTTTTCTCTTATCATATCACTCATTTACCTTTTTTCCTTCAGATTCAGGTTATTGAAGATGATAGGAACAACCGGGGTTCAGAGCCATTTGTTACTGGTGTACGGGGACAGGTGCCACCCTTAGTCACCACCAACTTCCTGGTGAAAGACCAAGGTGAGATGAACTTTAACATCTGTTGCCCTATGCAGCTAATTCTCTAAGGCTGTCAGCCATGGACCATACTTTTACTGGTCTTTAACCAGAGACCAGCTGCCCGCCCCGCCCCTCCCCACCTCTTCCCGAAGTCCTTCAGGGGGCTAAAGGCATTGGCCGCTTTTAACTTCTGTGAGGTGGCGTGACTTAGCAATGCAGAGCCGATAGCTAAAGGTTTCTGGGATGTGACTCAAATCTTCTGCCTTCTCCAGGGAATGCAAGTCCCCGCTACATTCGATGCACATCCTATAATATCCCTTGCACAGCTGACATGGCTAAGCAGGCTCAGGTGCCTCTGGCAGCTGTCATCAAGCCACTGGCAAGGCTGCCCCCAGAAGAGGTAAGTCTCAGAAGGGCTGGAATACAATGAAACAAATGGAGGCAATGATGCCTCTTTCTAGATGGCATTCTGACTGACATGCAAGACATCTTGGTTGGGCAGGATGGGACAGTATTTTTGTATTTTTCTTTCTCAGGACCCAAACTTGGTAGCAGTAGTAGGAATGAAAGCAAAAGCCAAATAAATGACTTAGTGAGACCAGGGTTCAAAGGAGGGAACAAGTGAAAAGAATCAGAGCCAGTGGATGTGGAGGCTCACACCTGTAATTGTAGCACTCAGGAAACTAAAACAGGAGACCTTGGAGTTCTAGCCCAGCCTGGCTACACAGTAGACTCCATCTCAAAACAAACAAAGGATGCAGAGGCAGGCAGATTCCTGTGACTTTAAAGCTAGTCAGGGCCCTGTCTTAAAATACAATAAAATTGGTAGGGTCAACCTAACTAATTTCTAGAGGCAAGACAGCACATAGATGTAGGAATTTCTCATTGTGTGGTCAAATCTCTAGATGATAACAAGTGTATTACTTTTTTTTTTAAATCTTCGGTTAGGTAGGACTATTAGGAAGGCATATAAAGGAGAAGCTACTATTGTATCCAGTATTCCATTCCTCACCTGGCTTGGGCCCTCATCTGCCAATCCAGTACCTGACAGCAGCATTTTTTTTTTTTTTCTTCAAGACAGGGCTTCTCTGTACACCTGCTCCTGGAACTCACCCTGTTGACCAGACTTGTCTCAAACTTAGAATCTATGTGCCACCATGACTGACCAAAGCATTTTTAAAAATTAAGTAGCTTTTTATTTAGACCTTGAGAAGTAACACTTGGCCAGGCTGGGGGTTCACACCTTTAATCCCTGCACTTAGGAGGCAGAGGCAGAGGATCTCTGTGAATTCAAGACCAGCCAGCCTGGTCTACAGAGTTCTGAGATAGCCAGGGCCACACAGAGAAACCCTGTCTGTCTCCAAAGTATCACTTAGGTACTTGAGAGTTCTCTAGAACTGTAACCTCAAGGCTCAGGGTATGTCTGCTTTCTCACTTTCATTTTGAATGCTAGGGAGATGCTTTTCGTATTTGTAAGATGACGTCTACCTGGGACAGCAGTGGGTGTCACAGAATTCTTTTGTGAGTGATGGGGGTATAGCTATGCAGAGGCGGAAGTGGAAGTCATCTCTAGGACAGTAGAAGAAATTCTGTATAAATGTTGTCTTTCTCTTCATACACTCATGGTAGTCTCTGGCTTGCTCCCTCTACTTTTTATGAATAAATGCATTCCGGGATAGGAAATAAAAAGAGAGAGAACTGGAGGTTTTCCAGTGATCAGTACCCTTATCATTGTCCTCATTCCCTTGTACTTGTATTCCTCCTCCAGACAGAGTACCTGAGCCATGCTGCCTCTCCCTCCAGTCTGTATCATGTGTTGCCATGTCTAACCCCACTGTAGCTAGTGTCCCTCCATCTGAGCCCCTTCCCTTTGTTCCTTAGGCTTCACCATATGTTGTGGACCATGGGGAATCTGGCCCTCTACGCTGTAATCGCTGCAAAGCATACATGTGTCCTCTCATGACGTTCATCGAGGGAGGGAGGCGCTTCCAGTGCTCCTTTTGCAGCTGTATCAATGATGGTATGCTGTGGAGGCTGAGCTTTGTGGGGAAGGCTTGCATCTCCATTGTTCTCTCTCGTTAGATAGCTAAGGGAGCATTGCTCAGGAGCTGGGGAAGCAGGGCACAGAAGAGGACATGGGGTATTGGAATGGTATGAAGGATCTCAGCTAGGAGTTGGCATACTAAGATTGAGGGTGAACCTTTGAGTAACTTACTGCATCCTCCCCACAGTTCCCCCCCAGTATTTTCAACATCTGGACCATACCGGCAAACGTGTGGATGCTTATGACCGTCCTGAGCTGTCCCTGGGCTCTTATGAATTCTTGGCCACTGTAGATTACTGCAAGGTGAGGGAAGGTAGTGGGAGAGGAGAGGTAGTGGGTGGAAGATTGTGAGACAGCCCAAAATAGCTGTTATCATTTCCCTTACCCTATCATGGCCCCTTTGATGCTCACTGCATTGCCCTCTAGTCTCCTGGCCTACTACTGTGTTCCGATGCGTTCAACATTTTCTTCCTCTACAGAACAATAAGTTCCCAAGTCCTCCTGCCTTTATCTTTATGATTGATGTCTCCTATAACGCCATCAGGACTGGTCTTGTTCGGCTCCTCTGTGAGGAGCTCAAGTCACTCTTAGACTACTTGCCTAGGTGAGAGTTGAGGAAGAACTGCTTTCCTTTGGTTAATGGGTGTCTGGGTTGACTGAGCAAGTGGAACATTATGTCATCAAGTTGTGGGTGGAGAAAAAGGTGACCAGTCTGGGTAACAATGTCACCTTCCACAGGGAGGGTGGAGCAGAAGAGTCAGCAATCCGAGTTGGCTTTGTCACCTACAATAAGGTGCTCCACTTCTACAATGTGAAGAGCTCCTTGGCTCAACCACAGATGATGGTTGTATCTGATGTGGCTGACATGTTTGTGCCACTGCTGGATGGCTTCCTGGTCAATGTCAAAGAGTCCCGAGCAGTTATCACCAGGTAAGTGCCAGATGGTGGAGATGAGAGGGAGTGGGAAGGTACAACCATAGAAGACCAGGGAGTTGAGCAGAGGGGTTAGTAGATGGGCAAGGGTGTGGTCCGGGAGTTTTCAATCTGGCAGCCAGATTACTAGTACAGGAATTGAGAATAGAGGCCTCTAAAATCTGGGTGGCAATTTTGGTTGTCTGCCATCATCTGTCTTTTCAGCTTATTGGATAAGATCCCAGAAATGTTTGCAGATACAAGAGAGACAGAGACAGTATTTGCCCCGGTTATCCAGGCTGGGATGGAAGCTCTGAAGGTAAGGCAGGAGTCCCTGGCAACCTCCTCCCTTGCTTTCCTCTGATCATGTTATTTACTGGAAAACAGCCTTAGTAAGTGACTGATAACTGTCTTGCAAGTCAGCCCATTTCACACAGCTAGTGCCTAATAAATGACAAAGAAAAAGATAAAATGGACGAGTAATTTTTTCTTTTTTCCTAGGCTGCCGAGTGTGCAGGAAAGCTGTTTCTGTTCCACACATCCTTGCCCATTGCAGAGGCCCCAGGGAAGCTGAAGAATAGAGATGACAGGAAGTTGCTCAACACAGACAAGGAGAAGGTGTGGGATTTGAGAGGGAGAGGGACGTCCCATAACAGAGGAAGGTGGTCACCTTCCATTGTCAGCTCTTCCATATTAGCCAGCTGGATTGGGATTACATTCTGCCCTCTCACGTGTCCCATCTGTGACTGTCAACCCACTCACAAAATGCTTGGTGGACTTGACTTTTTCTCTTTTTCATTTTTGCTCTTTTGAGATTTGGTCTAGCTATGTAGCCCAGGCTGGCCTCATACTTGTAGTGATCTTCTTATCTCTGCTTCCTGTGTGCTGGGATTATAGGTGTGCTTGAACACAAGCCACACCTTTCCTTTTTCTCTTCCCTTCCCTTCCGCCTTCCTTTTCCTTCTCTCTTACATAGGACATTTCTTCTGTTCCCCTGCAGACTCTCTTCCAGCCCCAGACAGGTGCCTACCAGACTCTGGCCAAAGAATGCGTGGCCCAGGGCTGCTGTGTGGACCTCTTCCTCTTCCCTAACCAGTATGTCGATGTGGCCACACTCTCCGTTGTCCCCCAGCTCACTGGAGGCTCCGTCTACAAATACGCCTGCTTTCAGGTATACAGTTCTGGGTGTGGGAATATCTGCTTATATGTGGAGTGGCTCTTTAGCTACTAACTTATTAGTGGTATGTGAATTTGAGCCCAGAGCATAGTGGTTAGGTGCATGGGTCTTCAAGTCAGCCCTGGGTTGATATTGATATTGATATTGGCATAGGATAATCATTTCATTATTCATCTTCTGTCCTTTCATCTTCAAAGTAGAGTTTACTAATTGGGATTTGTCTACAGAATTAAACAATTATATATAAAACATTTTGTGTACTACCTGATATGTCATGAATCTATAAATGCTTCATTGTCATTGTCATCCTTATTTTCACTGTTACTATGGTGAAGCAGGCTTGTAGAGTGGAAGGGATACAGGGAGACTGCCTGCAGGGTGAGCTGTGTGGTCAGTGATGTGACTCTGGGCCTGGGCTGTAGGTGGAGAATGACCAGGAACGGTTCTTGAGTGACCTGCGTCGGGATGTACAGAAGGTGGTTGGCTTTGATGCTGTGATGCGGGTTCGGACAAGTACTGGTGAGTTCTGCTTGAGGCTAACTCTGGTTGAAGCACATGTCCTATCTTTAGCTCTGACTTATCCCTGTGGCTTCAGGTATCCGTGCTGTAGATTTCTTTGGAGCTTTCTACATGAGCAATACAACAGATGTGGAGTTGGCTGGACTAGATGAGGACAAGACAGTGACTGTGGAATTCAAGCATGATGACCGGCTCAATGAAGAGAGTGGAGCCCTACTACAGGTGGCAGGCGGGAGACAGGGGGCAGAGGATGGAAGTGCTGGAGGCATTCACTGGGAAGATGATAAGGGGTGGGTGGAATTTTGAGGGAGGAGTGTGAGTTCCCTCTTTCTCTCTTCCCCTAGTGTGCCCTGCTTTATACCAGCTGTGCAGGGCAGCGTCGGCTCCGCATCCACAACCTGGCCCTAAACTGCTGCACCCAGTTGGCTGATCTGTATCGAAACTGTGAGACTGACACACTCATCAACTACATGGCCAAGTTTGGTGAGGGTAGACGCAGGGCAGGGTGGGATAGGGGATGAGAGAAAGGGTCAGGATGGTCAACCATTCAGCACTCTGGAGTAGGTGTGATGGTGTGAAGATGCACGTGAAAGGAAGCTGTCTCTCCTTCCCATATAGCATACCGGGGTGTTGTGAATAGCCCTGTGAAGACTGTACGTGACACTCTCATCACCCAGTGTGCCCAGATCCTGGCCTGCTATAGAAAGAACTGTGCCAGCCCATCTTCTGCAGGACAGGTGGGACAAGAATGCTAGCAGAGGGGTTGTTTCAACTTTTGCATTGTAGAGGTATTTCCCATGATCATTGACTTTATTTCCATAAATCCCTCAGTTGATCCTTCCTGAGTGTATGAAGCTACTCCCAGTTTACCTGAACTGTGTGTTGAAGAGTGATGTTCTGCAGCCTGGAGCCGAGGTCACTACTGATGACCGTGCCTATGTTCGACAGCTGGTTTCCTCCATGGATGTGGCCGAGACCAATGTCTTCTTCTACCCTCGGCTTCTACCACTGGTGCGATTGAGGATTGGACTATGAGACATATTGAGGACAGGGCCTCTAAGAAGGAGGGGATGGCATTACTTTATTGCTTACACGAAGGAATTTGTTTCTATGTACATTTCACATTGCTATCTGGAGACTTAGCCTTTTGAGTTTGTGTGTGTAAAGGAGTGTCTTGTAGTTTTTGGTGACTTTTTTTCCCTTTTTGTCTAGACAAAGTCTCCCATCGACAGTACCTCTGAACCACCAGCAGTTCGAGCATCTGAAGAACGTTTAAGCAGTGGCGATATATATTTGTTGGAAAATGGGCTCAACCTCTTTGTCTGGGTGGGAGCAAGCGTCCAGCAAGGTGTTGTCCAGAGCCTTTTCAACGTCTCCTCCTTCAGTCAGATCACCAGTGGCTTGGTGAGAACAGGGTGTCAAGGATAATATGGGTATGGAAAAACACTTTGGTGATTTGACTTCGGGTCAATGAAGTCATTATGCTGGTCCCTTTACATATCAGAGAACACTTTGGGCAAGGGGGGATGCTGTCAAGTTTTTTCAGGCTTCCTCATTTCAGATGATAACTAAGTCTGTATTGCTCCCTCTTGATAGACTTAAGTACTTTATCATAGTAATGAATAAATTTTTGTTCCAGAGTGTTCTGCCAGTTCTGGATAATCCACTGTCCAAGAAGGTTCGAGGCCTCATTGATAGCTTAAGGGCACAGAGAATGCGGTACATGAAGGTAACACAGATCTTATTTGTTTTGTGGTGGTAGTGGTGCTGGATATTGAATCCTAGGCCTTCTGTATGCCAGGCAAACACTCCGACTGAGCAACATTCCAGCACAGCAACACAGATCAGATTCCTAGATTTTTTTTTTTTTTTTAACTTTGTCAAGTCAACAAGAAGGACCATGGGGAGGGAGAGTCTTTTTTTTAATTATTTATTTATTTTATGTGCATTGGTGTTTTGCCTGCATGTATGTCTGTGTGAGGGTGTCAGATCTTGGAGTTACAGTTTTGAACAGCCATATGGGTGCTTGGAATTGAACCTGGGTCCTCTGGGAGAACAGCCAGTACTCTTAACCACTCAGCCATCCCTCCAGCCCCTGTAGGGAGAGAGTCTTAAGTATTTCATTACCAATGACCTTTCCTCACAACCTGTTTTCTGGCTGTAGCTTATCGTGGTGAAACAGGAAGACAAGCTGGAGATGCTGTTCAAGCACTTCCTGGTAGAAGACAAGAGCCTAAGTGGAGGTGCATCCTATGTGGACTTTCTCTGTCATATGCACAAGGAGATTCGGCAGCTACTGAGCTAAAGCAAGTCGGTAAATGGTATAGGGTCCCAGGCCAACTTCCAGAAAGTACCCCAGGATGGCAGAGAAATTGGGACAGTTCCATATCTTATGAGTCATGTAAGCTGACCTCAGTCTCTTTAGGGGGGGGAGGGCAAGATATAAGGAGACACCTTCTTTCTGGGCTCAAATATCCTCTACCACTGTCATGTCCTGCTGATGGAAGGTGCCCTAGTCCCCTTACTCTACCCTCTTTCTCCTGCTAATCCTGTTGTAATGAATGTAGTTTATCAGTTCACTGTATATGATCTAGTGTTGGGGGTTTGGAGGCAGCGAGGCCCTGGCAATACTGAGTCCCTCTGGACCAGCCTCCAAGAGGAAAGGGGCAGGCAGGAAGGAGTGAGAACCCCAGGGTTATTACAGGAGGTGGCAAATTCAGCTCCGTGTCATCAACAACTTCCTATATTAGGGATTAAATATACAGGTGCACAAGAGCTGGGGTACAGACTGTAGGTGGTGGAGAGTAAAGTAGTTGGGGCCTGGTGGTCAGTAGCAAAATTATAGTTACTGAGGATGGATGACTAGTTGTCTCTCTACTTCCATTGTGTGTGCTCTCTCTCCCCTGCTATGATTGGTTAGCACTTCGTGGACAGAAGCACATAGCTAGAGATGAATGAGCCTGGGGACTGAATTGCAAAGCATATTAACACCTAGGGGAGGTAGCGGCCTCCTTTCCAGCCGGAGAAGCCCCCAATACTGGATGGTTCTGTAGAGAGCCTGATGGTCAACTTGCAATACCTCACAGAGCCAGCCCACATCCCACTCAGCTCCCACCAGAAACACAGCTTAAGCCGGGCGTTGTTGGGGAGAAGCAGAGATGGCTGGAGCCCTCCCTGTCTTCCTGTGCCTGGACATTACTGGGCTTTGGTATTGACTGAGTGGTTGACAGTTATCTTCCAACTCCAATTGGCTGGGGCAGGACAAGGGCTAGGATTGATGGTGTCAGGCTTGCCTGCTCCCAGCCCGGGATGCCCCTGCTCTGGACCTTTCATTTCTTTTCATTGGTTTATTTTTCAATGCATCTTTAATTTGTAAAGAAATAAAATAAGATGTAACCAGTATCCCTTTTTTTTATTTTATTTTTTATTTTTATTTTTTAAACCATTCGCGACTTCTCCCTACCCGCCTGCGGCTGAAAGGAGCCGCGCATGCGCCGCGTGCCTCTGTGGCGTAGGACCCGGTCCGCTCCCCACTCGTCGCAAGGCGGGGTTTCGTGCAGTCCGAGCGGGTCCGCTGTGGACATGGCTGCTCGCTGCACCGAGACTGTGCTGGCCGCTCTGGGGCTGCTCAGTGTCTGTGCAGCCAGCAGCTCCGGGTCCGGGGCTTTGGGAAAGGAGGGTGGGGAAGCGGAGTGGGCGGAGCCGTGGGACGGCGCGGTTTTCCGGCCTCCAGCTCCGCTAGGCGCCGTAGGGGTGGTTCGCGGGCCAGAGTCCCCGACGCCAGGGAGCACGGAGACGGCGGACCTACCGGTGCTGCTGTGGTGGAGCCCAGGCCTGTTTCCACACTTCCCGGGCGACTCGGAGCGCATAGAGTGTGCGCTCGGCGCGTGCGTGGCGTCCCGGGACCGACGGGCGCGCGCCGACCCGCGGACGCGCGCACTGCTCTTCTATGGCACGGACTTCCGTGCAGCCGACGCGCCATTGCCGCGCCTGGCTCACCAGAGCTGGGCGCTCCTGCATGAGGAGTCGCCTCTCAACAACTTTCTGCTGAGCCACGGCCCTGGCATTCGCCTCTTCAACCTCACGGCCACCTTCAGCCGCCACTCGGACTACCCACTGCCACTGCAGTGGTTGCCCGGGGCCACCTATTTGCTCCAGCCTGCGCCTCCGCTCCGGGAACGCGCCGAGTGGCGTCGCCGCGGGTACGCGCCGCTGCTCTACTTGCAGTCCCACTGTGATGTGCCGGCGGACCGGGACCGCTACGTACGAGAGCTCATGCGCTACATCCCGGTGGGTGAGGGAGCAGCGTGGCGGGAGGGGGTGGGCCGGGCGAACGCCGCACCCTGCTGACCGCCGTGCTCTGCCTCGCTTAGGTGGATTCCTATGGTAAGTGCCTTCAGAACCGCGAGCTGCCCACTGTGCGGTTACAGGACACAGCCACGGCCACCACCGAGGATCCAGAACTCTTGGCCTTTTTGTCCCGCTATAAGTTCCACTTGGCCCTGGAAAACGCCATCTGCAATGATTACATGACGGAAAAACTGTGGCGCCCCATGCATCTGGGTGCTGTGCCTGTGTATCGTGGTTCACCCTCTGTGAGGGACTGGATGCCCAATAACCACTCCATCATCCTAATTGATGACTTTGAGTCCCCTCAAAAGCTGGCAGAATTTATTGACTTTCTGGACAAGAATGATGAAGAGTATATGAAATACTTGGCATATAAGCAACCAGGGGGCATCACCAATCAGTTTCTTCTGGATAGCCTGGAGCACAGGGAGTGGGGAGTGAACGATCCTATGTCACCTAACTACCTCAATGGCTTTGAGTGTTTCGTCTGTGACCATGAACTGGCTCGGCTGGAAGCTGAGAAGGCACATGCATCCTCTCCTGGGGACATTCCTGTCCCCGAGCCTCACATTGCCCAGCCCTCACACATGAACTGTCCAATGCCTACTCCTGGCTTTGGCAAAGTCGAAGAGATTCCTGAGAATGACAGGTAGGGGTTGCTGGGATGTCCTGCAGCTGTCACATCAAACTACTTGCTATCTTACAATGTGTAGGGGACTGGAAAAGACAAAACAGCCCACTTTGCTGTAAGATGTCAGTAGTAGTTGGGGAGCTGGGTGTGGTGGACATACCTGTGATCCCAAGTGCTGTGTCGGGAGGTGATAGAGAACCTGAGGATATACAGTGGGCCAGGCTAAAAGTTGAGGATTAGCACCTCAGCTGAGTACCGTAGATGTGGAGGTGAGGAATACAAAGATGAATTATCCTTATGCTGGAGATTAAGCCCAGGGCCTTCTGCATGCCAGGAAAGTACTTTTCCACCCAGTCACACCTCAACCCAGTAAGAGCATTTTGAAAGGATTTTACCCCACAGTAATCAACCTGACTTACTAAAGTCTCATTCTGTAGCAGCCTCAAACTTGTGGTGATCCTCCTGTCATGGCCTCTCAAGTGCCATGAAAAGCACTTACACATTTTTTGTGTGATGAAGTCAGGGCCTTGAGTATGGTTAGCAAGCACTCTACCATTGAGCTACACCCCCAGTTCTCCTTTTACTTTTCTATGCCCTGATTTGTTCACTCTAGACAGAATTGAAGGAAAGCTTTCAATAGATGTGTGATTAACATTGGCGGGCAGTGTGGGGCAAAGGAAGTGAGTAGGAAGCAGAATATACCTTCATTGGGGAAACGTTGGAACCACGTGCAGCAAGCCACCACAATTGCTTTGGAGAGGGATTACTAGAATAGCTCACAGAAAGTGACTTCAACAGTGGATGGCAGCAGAGGGCTGCTTCCCTGTGCTGCTGGCACAGTAGGGTCCTCATGGTGGAATCTTTCACTAAGAATCTTACCAGTTTATGCTGAACACATTATGATTTACTGGAAGAAAAAAGCATTAAGGAAACAGCCAGGGATGGTAATGAGCATTGTAATTCTAATGCCAAAAGAAACAGGCAGGAGGATCAGGAATTCAAGATCATAGTTGGCCACATGCAGTGAGTTTGAGGCAGTCCTGAGCTATCTGAGACCCCAGTCCCTATGACAAAAGAAAATTTAGATTATGCCTTTTCTTTCCTTCTTTTTTGTTTGTTTGCTTGGTTTTTAGAGACTGGGCTTTTCTATAGCTTTGGAGCCTGTCCTGGAACTCACTCTCTAGATCAGGCTGGCCTCGAACTCACAGAGATCCTCCTGTCTCTGCCTCCCGAGTGCCGGGATAAAAGATGTGCACCACCACTGCCTGGCTCAATTGGATTTTTAAATAACAGTGAAGGTTAAGGCCATCTGGCCAGGCGTTGGTGGTGCACACCTTTTATCCCGGCACTCGGGAGGCAGAGGCAGGCGGATCTCTGTGAGTTCAAGGCCAGCCTGGTCTCCAGAGCAAGTGCTAGGATAGGCTCCAAAGCTACACAGAGAAACCCTATCTCGAAAACAAAAACAAGCTACCCCCCCCAAAAAAAAAACAACAACAAAAAACATCTGAAGGCCCCTCACTGCTCCCTTGCTTTCCTGTAGAATTTAAATGCTCTGAATCCTTTGTCCTCCCTCCACATTTGGGAGCTGGAGGTAAGTGAGCACTGCCAGCTCCTTGGGTGGACTATGATGTCTTTTTGTTTATGGCCTACTTGCCATCTCTTGGGCTAGTAAGTTTTACTCCATAGCTCCTTTCCTTCACAGCAGAGTCTTGTCCTATCCAGAGGCCACAGTACTTGATTACAGTTTTTCCTGTTTCTGTTGTTCTAGACAGGATTTCTCTGTGTAATAGCCCTGGCTGTCCTGGAACTCACTCTGTAGACCAAGCTGACCTCCCCCTCCCTCTGCCTCCTAAGTGCTGGTATTAAAGATGTATGTCACTACCACCCAGCCCTGCTTATGATTTCTTTGCAGTCACTCAAAGCCTATTATTGCTGTGCATTCCCAATTAACCGCCCTGTTTTGTCTTTTCAGCTGGAAGGAAATGTGGCTACAAGATTATTGGCAAGGTCTCTATCAGGGGGAAGCTCTCACTGCCATGATCCACAACAATGAAACACAGCAGAGGAAATTTTGGGATTATGTACATCAGATCTTCATGAAGAGGAATAAACATCTCTAACTGCCCTTGCTTGGAAGACATATGGAGACTGTTTTATCATGGCACCTAAGGCACATCCACTATGGCCTTTATTGAATATTTTCTATATTTCTTGATGCATTCACTGATTCTCCTGCCCTGTACTGGAGATAGAAGCTGAGGCTTTGAGAATGCTAGGCAAGTACTGCAAGCCTTCTCCGCTGTACCTGAATGATATGCAGCAGTGTCCCAGCCTGTGGTAATAGAGCTTCTTTCTCCTTAAGGGAAGGCAGAAGCCAGAAGCACCATTTGACTCAAGTGTGCTTCACATGTCTGTAGTCATTTCATCATTTCAAATATGAACAGGGTAGGTCAGGAGGCTATGATCTAACAGGTCTGTTATTTAGTACCTTTCTCAATTATCTGTTTCCCATCTTGCTTTTCTTATTAGCTGTTACACTGGTGGAGAGGCAAAACTGGGGTGGGGATTGGGGCTATTCTTTTTTTTTTTTTTTTCCAATTTTTCCCCCTTTTGAGTTAACCTTACTACATGGCCCAAGCTAGCCACCAACTCCTGGGCCTAAGTGACAATACCTGCCTCAGCCTCTAAGTAGCTCGGGCTACAGGTATACAATGCTATGCCTAGCTCAAATTACTTTAAGAAATATTTGCACTGCCTGAGTTTTTTTTTATTTGAAGTGGCTCTTTCTTTCTGACTTTTGGCTGTTTCCCACAAACATTGGGAAGATCAGCAAACATTTCCATCATTTTTTTTTTTTTTTGGTTTTTTTTTTTTTTTTTTTTTTTACAGGGGTGGGTTTCTCTGTGTAGCTGTGGCCCCTATCCGGGCCCTCCCTTTGGAGCCCGGGCGGGCCTCGAACTCCCGGGGATCCGCCTGCCTCTGCCACCCGAGTGCTGGGATTAAAGGCGTGTGCCACCAATGCCCAGCCCATCATTCTTACTGCTTGGTTTTCTTGTTAGGGTATATTTGGAATTCTTTCTCTCATGAACAAATTAAGTAGCTAATATGACACTGATGTCAGTTCAGTATATTGCCCTGTTACAGGGCTGGAAAGATCCATTCAATCCACTACTCACATTCTTTCAGATAATGTTATGGTGCTGTGTCTTTGTTTTGTGGTTCTGGCACTCAACTGAGTTATAGCTGCAATCCTAGTACTGAGATTTTTCTTTTCTCCTTCTTCTTCTTCTTTTTTTTTTTTTTTTTTTTTTTTTTTGAGACAGGGTTTCTCTGTGGCTTTGGAGGCTGTCCTGGAACTAGCTCTTGTAGACCAGGCTGGTCTCAAACTCCCTGAGATCCACCTGCCTCTACCTCCCAAGTACTGGGATTAAAGGCGTGCGCCATCAATCCCCAGCCTTTCTTTCTTTTTTTAAAAAATATTTATTATTATGTATACAGTGGTCTGCCTGCATGTATACCTGAATGTCAGGAGAGGGCACCAGGTCTCACCATAGATGGTTGTGAGCCACCATGTGGTTGCTGGGAATTGAACTCGGGACTCCTGGAAAAACAGCCAGTTCTCTTAACCTGTGAGCCATCTCTCCAGCCCCCCTTTTTTTTCTTTTTCTTTTATGAAGCCAGCTTAAGGCCCCCAATTCATAGAGCTTGAAGAAGGCAAGGGATAAGTGGCTAGCTAAATAAAAACTTCAAATTTGGAGCTAGAGAGATGGCTCCACTGTTGAGAGCACCGGCTGGTCTTCCAGAGAGCCCAAGTTTGATTCCTAACACCCACATAGCACTCACAGCTGCCTGTAACTCCACTTCCAGGGGGATTCAATCCCTCTTCTTGCCTCTGTGAGCATCAGGCACAAATAGTCTGCACAGACCTATATGCAGGCAAAATGCCCATCCATGTCCACAACAATAAACTTTAGATTTGGAGATGCAGACCAACTGCCTATTGCTGTAGCCTGAGCAGGAGACAGGCATTTTCTGGGGTAGTAAGAAAGAATGCCTTGGACCTTAGAGCTTTGTTTATTAGTTAGTGAATTATCACTAAGGGAGTCTCCTGGCTTATCAGTATATCTGATTGTAAACTACATATATCTGAACCCATATCTACTTAGATAGATACCTATGCAGTTAGATGCTTCAGCTTCATGGTTAGTACTGTGACACTTAAGGATGTGACTCAGAAAAGCTTTAACATGGGTTGGAATTACATTTCTAGCAGTTTTCTTCATTTTGTGTCTGTATGTGTGTGTGTGTGTTGCTGAGATGGATCCCAAGGCCCTGTGCATGCTAATCATGTGCCCTGACTGTCTCCCGAGTTATATTCCTTTATTTTATTTAGTTAAAAATGCCTTTATAGTAGCATGAAAATTATTTAACTTATTTGGTCTCTTACACAAGAGGGAAAGATGTTTTAAAAAGTACATCAGAGATAGGTGGGTCTATGAGTGCTAGACAAGCTTGGCTACAATAGCAAGATTGTGTCTCAAAGGAAGGGGAAAAATTGTAGTATAGATGGGCACAGGTATGTGTGTCTGTGAGCATGTATTTATGTTTGTATATGGTATGTGTGTGCATGGGTAGTGCATGGGTTGTACACACTTTTAGTTTCCGCATTCCAGGACTTTGGGAGGCAGAAGCAAGTGGATCTCTGTGAGTTTGAGACTAGTCTGGTCTATTTAGTGTTCCAGGACATCCAGAGATATATAGAGAGACCCTGTCTTGATTGATTGATTGATTGATTGATTGATAGATAGGTAGATAGACACACAGACAGACAGATAGATGCTGATTCCTATAGCAAAATATTATACAAGTGCAAATCTAGATTAGAACTCAGATGTCCTATGTGCAACAAGGAAGGTGATGGTTATGCATAGTGTGGGCCCGCTCCATTCCACCAGCTCACACAAGCACTCCTCAGCACTTTTCCACACAAGTGAGCCAGTTGTTCATAAATGGTAGCTGCTGGAAAATAGGCTTGCTTTTTGTTCAGTGTTTCCCAGACTCCCCTGTATCTCTATCATGTAAACAATCATAAAAGACCAGGGTATATCAAGTGCTACATTTCCAAAAGGGAAAGAACTATGAGTAACCACATAGTACTTACCAATGAAAAAGCTTTACTTTCTATGGAGAAACAAGCAAAATCTTTATCCAGTTTGGGGTTCAGCTATACTATATACAGCACCAAGTATTTGCTGCAGTTTCTGTTAGGAGACTTATTTACTACAAGAATATGGGGTAAGGCCGATGGCAAGTGTTACTATTTTATGATCTCAGGTTTCATCTTATATATAATACTGTTTTTACATAGTGTCTTCTATCTGGTTATTTTTATTACATTTGTTTATTTTGTGTATGTGTGTGGTAGCTTGTTCTACCCTGTACGTGTGTATGTCAGAAGACAATTTGCAGGAGTCAGTTTTCTTTCTACCATGTGGTCCCAGGGACCCTCTATCTTCAGGCCTAGTGGCAACGCCTTTATTCACCCTCTGAGCTATTTTTGCTGGCTTCTATTTGCTTGTTTTTGGGGGATGGGGGTGGTAAAAAATGATAAACATTCATTTAACATTTTTCTTTCATTTTTAAAAAATTTATTACGTATACAGTGTGCTGTCTGCATGTATGCCTGCAGGTCAGAAGAGGCTACCGATCTCAATACTGATGGCTGTGAGCCACTATGTATTTGCTGGGAATTGAACTCAGGACCTCTGGAAGAGCAGCCACTGCTCTAAACTGCTGAGCCATCTCTCCAGCCCCTCTTCTTTAAAGGTTTTATTCTTTCTTTTTTTCCTTTTTTTTTTTTTTGAGGCAGGGTCATGTTATGTGGCCCTGGCTTGCCTAGTACTCATTATGTAATGTAGGCTGGCTTCAAACTCATAATCTGCCTCCTGCATCAGCTTTCCAAGTGCTTGGATTACATGCATATATCACATTTGGCATAACAAATATTTTAGACACTGGGATTCAGCAATGAACAACATACAAACACTCGTCTCATTTTTAAATGTATTTAAAAATATTTTTTTAAAGATTTTATTTATTTATTATGTATACAGTCTTGTGCCTGCATGCCAGCAGAGGGCACTAGATCTCATTCAGGGTGGTTGTAAGCCACCATGTGGTTGCTGGGAATTGAACTCAGGACCTCTGGAAGAACAGTCAGTGCTCTTAACCACTGAGCCATCGCTACGGCCCCTAAAAATATTTTTTACGTGTGTCAGTGTGTTGCCCAAGAAGGCCAGAAGAGGGTATTTCCTGGAGCTGGAGGTACAGATGGTTGTGAGCCCTTTGAAGTGGATGCTGGGAACCAAACTCATGAGTCCTCTGTAAGAGCTGGAAACACTTTTTTGTTGCTGTTGTTTTGTTTTCTGGTTTTTCAAGGCAGGGTTTCTCTGTGTAGCCCTAGCTGTCCTGGAACTCGCTCTTGTAGACCAGGCTGACCTCAAACTCACAGAGATATGACTGCCTCTGCCTCCTGAGTGCTGGGATTAAAGACTTGCCCGACACCACCACCCAGCTGCTAAAAGCACTTTTAACAATGGAGCTACCTCTCCAAACCGCTAACATTTTAAAGTAGATGTTGGGGTGGATAAGGTGACAAACAACCTATTCAGACTGTGATGGGTGCTGGTTAGAGAGTGGCAGGAGAGGGAAAACTCTGAAGTGATCTGAGACTCAGGAAGAAAAGCCATTCCAAACATTCGTGGTAAACAATTTCAATATGAATGTACCCATGCTGGTAGATCTTGCTCTGAAGTAGACATCATATAAACTGCATGACTGTATGGTTCCACTTCCATTACCAGAAATGTCTTTTGAGTTCATTTTAGGAATCTGGTACATCTTTGGGACTCAGTTTTGTAGACAGCTAAAAGTCAAACACTAAGTCTGAAAAATCAACCACAACTGGAAGTAAATGTTAAATGTTATATACAATGTTACACATAAAACTTATAACCCTCACCCAATGGTGAGGTCATTCCAAACGAGTAAACAGCATCTACACAGCAGTTGTTAGGCTTAGTAAAAGAAGCCGAATTCTCCTTGAGGTTTTAGAATGGCTCTAAGAGTTGTAAAAGCCAACCATTCTTAATGGGTTTGTAAAATGGGTCAGAGGTCAAGAGGCACCGGCTGCTCTTCCAGAGGTTCCGAGTTCAAATCCCAGCAACCACAGGGTGGTTCACAACCATGTGTAACGAGATCTGGCTCAATCTCCTGGCCTGCAGGCAGAATACTGTTTACATGATAAATAAACAAGTCTTTAAAACAAACATCTTTTCCAACATAACAATCTTAACTCCAGCCCCAGGGGATCCGACGCCTTCCCTTGGCCTCCACCGACCTGGCGCCCTCACGCACACAGACAGACACACACTAGCACACACGCATGAGGAAGTGGCAGCCTCCGACACGGAGCCCGTGCGTCTTGCCTGCTCCCGGAGCCCGCAAAGGGACGGTCTGGGACGGCGCACAACCGAGCATCCTAACGATGGCCCGACGGGGTCTGAACCGAGGAGTGAAGTGCGTAAGGGTCAGGCGGGGTCACGCACGACGCCGCAGAGCCTACTGGGAACGTGTGCAAAATGGCGACACCCAGTTTGCGCTCTCGGCTGGCGCGGTTTACGAACCCTGAACCCCAACAAGCCTCTTATCCTAGCTAACCGCGTCGGGAACAGACGCCGAGAGAAGGGCGGTGAGCACTCAGTGGAGCGGGGGCGGCTGGGTGGGCGCGCAGGAGAGGTGTGAGGTCGGCTCGTGTCTGAAGGTCCTCCAGTTGTTCCCTTCCAGAGGCGACCTGTATCACGGAGATGTCGATGATGATGGCTTGCTGGAAGCAGAATGAATTCCGCGACGAGGCGTGCAGAAAAGAGATCCAGGACTTCTTCGATTGTTCTTCCAGGGCTCAGGTGACAGGGTGCCTTCTTGGGAAAAGAAAGGGAAATGCAAATGAATGGCTCGCACTGCCTTGTGCTAAGTTATGGAAGGAACCTCTCATTAATCTCACCGTCGCCAGAATGAGAAAAGCTAAGGTTTGACGATGGTTGGTCTTAAACTAACTTGTTGGCCAGAATAATAGCTTCGGATGGTAACAGGTCCCAAATCTTCTTCAATTCCCCTTAAACCACCACCCTTTTGTTTCTTTTTCCTTTCTGCGTGCGTGCGTGCGTGCGTGCGTGCGTGCGTGCGTGCGTGCGTGCGTGCGTGCGTGCGTGCGTGCGTGCGTGCGTGCGTGCGTGCGTGCGTGCGTGCGTGCGTGCGTGCGTGCGTGCGTGCGTGCGTGCGTGCGTGCGTGCGTGCGTGCGTGCGTGCGTGCGTGCGTGCGTGTGTGTGTGTAAGTGCATGCATGTTTGAATATCCCCTTAAACCACCACCCTTTTGTTTTTGTCCTTTCCGTGTGTGTGTGTGTGTGTGGGTGTGTGTGTGTGTGTGTGTGTGTGTGTGTGTGTGTGTCTGTCTGTCTGTCTGTCTGTCTGTCTGTCTGTCTGTCTGTCTGTCTATGTGTGTGTAAGTGCATGCATGTTTGAATATGCAGGGGCATCCGTGTGGGCACCAGTGCTGTGTGGTGGCCCACGCTCTGGAATTTTCCTCCATTTCTCTTCCACCTTATTCTTTGAAGCAGGGTCACTTGGGTTTGGAGTATTATAGAAATTATGGGTCTAGGCCATGGTAGACTGAAGAACTGTTATTATTTTTCTTTTTCTTGTGTTTTCAGAAAGCTGGGAAGATGAGATCAATCCAGGAGACTCTGGAACAGTCTGCGAGTTTACCTCCCCACAAAATGACCAAGTTGTTACAAAGATTTCCCAACAAATCTCACCTCAGCTGAAAATGGAGAGACATTTTCAATGAACTGTCATTTGTGAATGCTATACAGAGGCATGTTAGGGATATATGCATTTTTGAAGGGTAAAATGAGACAAAACACTTGCTCTTATGAATGAATCATGTTCTGGATGCTGTCTTGAAATAAAACCCTCTAAAAAAGAAATTGGCCATTTCTTCTCATGAGATACTCCCTCCCCACACCTCACCCCCATCCCGAAGATGAACCCCTTGGTCTTTCCTAGTATTAGACAAGTACCGAATCACTGAGCTAGCCCCTACCACTCTCTTTCTTGAGCCCTGTACTCTCCTCTAGACCCTGGAAGTTTTTTGCTTCCAGATGTAGTCTTCTTTCTTTCAAAAAAATGTTTTTGTTTGTTGTTTTTTCTTGGTTTTGTTTTTGTTTTTCGAGACAGGGTTTTACAGGGTTTCTCTGTAAAACAGTCCTGGCTGTCCTGGAACTCACTCTGTAGACCATGCTGGCCTTGAACTCGGAGAGATCAGCCTGCCTCTGCCTCTCGAGTGCTGGGATCAGTGGCAGACTTCACCACTGACCGGTGCAAATATGCTCTTGTTGAACAACTATGGATGTCTTTTGTTGTTGTCTTTCAAGTCCTTTACACCATTTAGTGCTTTTGCTTTTAGATACATGAGGTGTGGTGATGTCTCTGCATTTGTAGAACTTTTTTTGCCATCGGCCGAATTCAGTGAGTGCAAACTTGATGAATAGTTTATTCAAAGTACTTGCTGAAGAAAGTACATAAACAGATGACACAGAGGCTCTGCAGATAATGTTTTGATTTGTAAAAGTAAGAATGGTATTGGGCTGGAGATATGGCTCAGGGGTTAAGAGCACTGACTGTCCTTCCAGAGGTTCTGAGTTCAATTCCCAGCAACCACATGGTGGCTCACAACTATCTGTAATGTGATCTGGTATCCTCTTCTGGCACATACTATATACATGATAAGTAAATAAATAAATCTTAAAAAAAAAAAAAGAATGGCATCGAGGGGTCTAGAGAGATAGCTCAATATTTAAGGGCCCTTGCTACTTTTGCAGAGGACTAGCATTGGGTTCCACAGAAACCATGCTAGGTACCTCAACTGCTTATAACTGGCCCAAGAGGACCTGATACCCTGTTCTGGTGCCTTCAAATGCACTTACAGACATACAATAAAAAACTTGTATGGTGGTATATGCCTTTTATCCCAGCATTTAGGGGGCAGGCCGGCAGATATCTGAGCAAGGCCATAGAAAGCCTATCTCTTGGGCTGGATAGATGGCTCAGAGGTTAAGATCCCTGGCTGTTCTTCTAGAGGTCCTGAGTTCAATTCCCAGCAACTACATGGCTGCCCACAACCATCTATAATGAGATCTGGTGCCCTCTTCTGGCCTACAGGCATACATGTAGGCAGACCACTGTATACATGATAGATAAATAAAACTTAAAAAAAAAAAAACTCTTTTTTTTAAAACGTTGCTTTAAAAAATTCAGACATCAATGAATTATTCTTCCCAGTCTTGCTTAATGTATAAATAAGCATGTTAAAAACTTGATAATATCTACCTGACTACAGTACGAAATTCAAGGATAAAATCTTTTCGTACCTACCTCCCCCCCCAACACACAACTATTTTCTTCTACTAAATAGTCAGGCTGAGCTGATTATCACCTGTCCCAATATTCCAGTGTCTTTCCACTTAATTCTCCTAAATGGCAGAACTAAGACTCAGTAGGCAATCTACTTCATTGTAAATTACTGTTTTGTTTTGTTTTTTTTTTTCTTACATTGTCTGCTGTTTGCTAGAGGTAGTTACTTTCCCCTGATAGTAGGAATAACTGTAGGATTTCATGTATGTTCTGCCTCTTCAGGAATAATCAGTTGAAGCTAATCTTTTCCTTCTAGCTGATAGCATTAAATGTGGTATAGAAATGAGAGTTCTCCCTGGTCTAGTGTGATAATTAAGGTAAAGAGGGGTCTTTCCTGCATGTCCCTCAATAGCTACATTTTCCCATAATTGTGTATTCCACTACAACTGCTTGGTTCTGCAAGCTGGGTCTTTTAGTTAAATGAAGAAATTCGGTTTTTGAATATTTTAGATTAAGATTTAGATTTAGATTCCCAGTAGTGAAATAAGAATTTTGTAAGCTGGGTGGTGGTGGTGGATGCCTTTGATCCTAGCATTTGGGAGGCAGAGGCAGGTGGATCTCTGTGAGTACGAGGCCAACCTGTTCTACAAAGAGAGTTCCAGGATAGCCAGAGCTGTTATTTCACAAAGAAACCCTGTCTTGAAAAACCAAAACCAAACCAAACCAAACAAACATAAATAAAATAGAAAAATAAAAAAGAATTCTGTGAATTGGAATGAGGAGAAATATATCTAACCACAGCTGAAATTAAACACTTCAGTCAGGGTTATAGGAAACAATCCACAGCAGCGTTAGTGTCCTTCTTGGGGATGGGTGGTGCCTGGACATAGAAACCAGGGCCTTTATAAAAAATTCTAGGTAAACATTATCAGTTAATTATATACTCTGCTCGATTTTGGCGTTTACTGTACAAATAAACATCGCAAGTTTGTTTTATTAAAGTCTTGGTAATTGTACTTAAACCTAATTAACGTAATTAACATAAACAATCAGGCGAGGTGGAGGGCACCCATGAACTTCTCTAGACTGATATGCACCTCAAGCACACACACACACACGCGCAGATTAAAAACACTTAGATACAAAGACAGTACCGAGGAAAAGGACATGCTTTTTTTTTCCTGGCGCTCCCCCTTAGACTCTATAAAGTGGCTGGGTTATAGGTTCTGGACTGCAACTCCCAGAAGGCAATGCGGCTTCAGGGCCTATCCCGAGGCGTGACAATAACCTATCCAATGGTCACTTGCACTGCCCCTGACAGCATGAGATTCTCGACACGAACGGCGGCTGTTTCTGCCTTGGGGACTTTATGGGCACCAAGTAATTGCTGGAGTCTGTAGCTGTCTCATATACCTTGGGGAGCTGTGTATGAGGGTGGGCTCGAGAAAACAGCCGGCGATGCACACACGTGTCCCCTACACCCGCCCGTACGCGGTCCAGTCCCGGAGCACGCGAGGGCGGAAGTGGTGATGGCCGGCGCGGCCGGAAGTTCGGATCAGCTGATGGGGGAGGCGGCGCCGCAGCCGCCTAGAGGCCCTGGCCGCCCAGCGTTTCGTCCGGGCCTCGAGTCTCGCAGACTGGCCACAATCCCCGCTCGCACCTCGCTGTTGGGTGAGGCCTGGCCCGGTGTCCCTCCCAGGCCCGAGATCCTCGCCCGGCACGGCCGCCCTGAGACGGCGAGCGCTTCTCGTTCGAGGATTCCGACCGCTTTGAGGAGGATTCACTCTGTTCGTTCATCTCCGAGGCCGAGAGCCTTTGCCAGAACTGGCGAGGATGGCGCAAACAGTCAGCGGGGCCCAATTCCCCCACTGGAGGCGGTGGCGGAGGTGGCAGTGGCGGTACCAGAATGCGAGGTGAGGGTGAGCGGGGAAGAGGCTGCCAGGGGGAGGGGAGCAGGCAAACCCCGTTGGGCCTTGCTTGGGAGCTGTCCGGACCGGGAGCTGTCCCAAGCTTAGAGCAGACTTCAGGACTCTCTTTTCTGGCCTTCCAGGGCTGGGGTGGCATCTTCACAGCAGAGAGAGAAGAGAGAAAGGGGCGTGGGGGGGAAGAGAGAGGAGAAAGAGAAAGAGGGAGAGATAGGGAGGGAGGGAGGGAGAACGGGATGGAGAGAGAGAGAGAGAGAGAGAGAGAGAGAGAGAGAGAGAGAGAGAGAGAGAGAGAGAGGGCGCGCGCTCATTCGCGCGCGTTCACGCAAGCTTGTGTTGTGGCAGAGAACATCCTGGGTTAGCCCGAAAGATCTTTTGTTATTCTTTTACGCCTTAGAGGCCGAATATGGGAGAATATCCCTTCTCTGTTTTAAGAATGTTTAACGGAATTTGGCCTTTAGTAAACCAGTAGGCAGAAGAGAATGTGGTTAGGTGTGGATGGTGAAAAAGTTACCACTTGAGGTGTATCACTCTGTGGGACGGTGCATTGGTTGCTTTGCTTCTAGGATGTTGATCTCTCCTCATAAGCTGCACCAAGAAAGGATTCCACCGGGAGGAAAGTGGAAGTGAACTTGCCTATGAGAGTAGATGCCATAATTCATAGGGTTAAACCAGAGATTTGCTCCTGGCATCTGTCAGAAGCCAGGGCTGGGACCAGAGGGTGGGAGCTTTGGACTTCCATATGTGAGGTCTAGGCAGGAGAGTGAGCAGTTATCTTGGGGCTTTGCTCATGGAGCACCTTTGTGTTTCATTCATTCTTGGTCTTCCAGTGAAGTTAAGAACTAGTACTGTGAAGAATTTTGCTTTGTGAGAGGGAATAGAAAGGAGAACGAAGGCAGAGAAGCTTCACAGGCTTAGGGATCATCACTTCTTTCCCTTGCTATGTGGTGCCCCTTTAGGATGGAGAGAAAGTTGCCTGTACCACTTTTTAGGAGTGATAATACTCAGCTTTGTTGGAGAGACACACCACTTGTCTGTGTATGTGCAGATAAGCAGCTTCAATGTGAATCTTTTGAGAGTGTGGGTTGTCTGGGGGCTTTGAGTCCTCTCACTTTGGGGGAAGTAATTGAAAGCATGGTAGTGAAGATTTTCAGCATATTGATACCCTCCTGCATAGGTTAAGATCTTTCCCCCCTTTCTTCCCTTCCTGCCTGCCTGCCTGCCTGCCTGCCTGCCTGCCTGCCTTCGTCCTGGGAGTCTAGGCAGGTCTTCCAGACCTAGCCTGAATATACTGTTTCTCCCATGTTCTCCTCAGCCACTCTCGGTTGCTCACTAGAAAAAGGCTTGCTGTTGGTTTTGAAAGGTTCATTTCTATTGTTTGATTTTTTTGGGGGGTGGGAGTGGGGTTCAAGACAGAGTTTCTCTGTGTAACAGCTCTGGCTGTCCTGGAACTCACTCTGTAGACCAGGCTGGCCTCAAACTCAGAGATCTGCCTGCCTCTGCCTCCCTAGTGCTGGGATTAAAGGTATGCGACACCACCGCCCATTGTGAAAATTTTTTTTTGATCAGTGTTTTAATATAGCTGTTTGCTGTGAGTTCTGTAGTCTGTTATGCTAATACTTTTGTTGTTGTGGTTGTTGTTGTTGTTG